CAACGTCAGAAGTTCGAACGACTCGCCTGTCCTGGGCAGATCGCAAATACAATTAGTTGAAATTGTTTGGTTCTTTGCAAGCTCTTTAAATTTTCAACACACGATATATATCAGGCTTTTATGGTTAACAGGCATGTTGTCTATCACGCACAAGTAGTTACTTAATCTGATTTAGTATATCATATAAGTACAGACATGAAGTTGCATGTATGTTTTTTTATGTTCAGGTTGGAACCTCCGCACCTGTCAACAATCAACTATGCAACATCGAAGCGGATATGGTATTTTGTAAATTGATGCCACAAAGTTATAATGCTACAACAACACAATGTGACTTTGAATGCGAAAATTTACAGAAATGTTCAAATGTTCATGTTGTAATGCAGAGTGCCACAAAGGATGTCTGGAGGTTATGTGAGCTTACCATAACTGATATGTTATAGACAAGGATGTCTGGAGGTTATGTAAACATTCTATATTTTATGTATTATAGACAAGGATGTCTGGAGGTTATGTGAGCTTACCCTAACTGATGTGTTATAGACAAGGATGTCTGGAGGATATGTGACCTTACCATAACTAATGTGTTTACAGACAAGGATGTCTGGAGGTTATGTGAGCTTACCCTAACTGATGTGTTATAGACAAGGATGTCTGGAGGTTATATGAACTTACCACAATAATGTGTTATAAACAAGGATGTCTGAAGATGGTGTTAACTGACTTTTAATTATGTGTTGTTGACAATGATGTCTGAAGTTGGTGTTAACTGACTTTTTAATTATATGTTATAGACAAGGATGTTCGGAAGTTCAAATTTCTGCGGTTGTATCAAAAGCTTAAGTGAAAAGTATGTCTTTTTCGCGGAAAGCCATGAAACGACCGACGGTCTGTTTACCGCTTTTATTTCATCCTCGAAGATAGTGAGAAACAGAACTTTTCACACTTGTAAACAATTGGAACAGTAATCATTATATAACTTTAATGTAGTGGATGTCTTAAAGTTGGGAACTCTACAAATAATCTGTATCTATCGTATATAATTTCATCATATGTTTTCCTAAACGATTAACGATGGCTCATTCGTACCATGTATAGTAAGCAGAGTTTTCTGGATGATTGAAGATCTTCGATTTATCATTTTTTATCAAAATGGAGGCTGGAGACTGTGTGGATTTAATTAACCAGTTTTCGTTCGATTTTTAGTAACATTTCCATGTCTAGTTTGTCCTCTGTGTACTATGGACGGATACTTCATGAACGAAGAAATCCAACGGTATAAGAATTTCTTACATGTCCACGTGGTGTCTTCATAAGCTGAGATACACACCAGATCAGCCCGTTCGCACGTTGGTGTATGAGTTATGTACATCGATAAGCTGAAGAGTAAAATCGATCACAAAATAAAGTATACACATGTACTCTTAAACCAATACAGGTAAAATCGATCACAAAACAAAGTGTTTACTCCTAGACAAATACATTACAAGTGAGCTGAAGAATTTTATGCCATGATTTAAGCTTAAGTTTGAAAATGTTATTGAAATGGGAAAATATTGTTCTCCAGTTTTCTAAAACTTTGGAAAATGTTGAATGCCAGTCTCCTAGTAAAGCCGATTTTGGTTTTCTATATATATATAAGTTTATAAAGCATTTTAAAGACACGACATGTATTTACTGGATTGAGATGCTCGTGTGTGTAAGCATATTATTTCTTATTCAACAAAGATTTCTTCCTGGGGTGATCAGTTGGCAATTTATGTGTTTTTCATCATAAAACAATGAAAATTATTCATCATAAACAAAGAAAATTGTTCATCCTAAAACAATTAAAATTGTTCATTATAAAGCAATGAAAATTGCTCATATAAAACACTACAATGACAATTTTTCATCAAACAATTAAAATTGTTCATCATAAACAAAGAAAATTGTTCATCCTAAAACAATTAAAATTGTTCATTATAAAGCAATGAAAATTGCTCATATAAAACACTGAAAATCGTTCATATAAGACAATGACAATTTTTCATCCTGAAACAATTAAAATTGTTCATCATAAAGAAATGAAAACTGTTCATGAAAAAATAATGAAAATTTTTCAATATAAAACAATTAAATTTGTTTGTCATAAAGCAATGAAGATTGTTCATCATTAACCAATAAAATGAACATCAAGTGAAATTTGACAGAGCCAAAGAGTTCTAGGAAATTGTCCTGCGTCATGATGTAGTCGTTACCCACAGATTAACGAAAATGTCAAGTTTTATATTATGGGAAACCTCATTAACATGTTCACTGAATAGACTAAGGTGTATAAAAGAGGGAGAATTAACCAACTAAGAAGACCTCCATCACGTCTCGAGCCTATATGTTCTATAGTATAGTGGTTTGTAGATGCAGTGTTGTAGATGTTGTTACGTTGTGTTTCATACCGGTGTAGGAAGAGGCCGGGTATCACAATAGTATCGCTATGTGGTTTTATGCTCTTGCAGTTATCACAATAGTCAATCAGCGAATATGGCTCCAGATGCATTTGTGAATGGTTCGGTTGGATGCTTATATCAAATGAAAAAATACTTGACACGTAGATCTAAAATTATTGGTACACATGTTTGTCAGGCACGTGTTTCACCGTTGATGAAAACATATTTTTTTCGTCCTTTCTTGCAATACATGTTGATCGATTTTTCTGTATACTATCAGATGTATCAATTATTCACTGTGGGAAGTAGTCATTAGAATAAAAAAAATGAATGCTTTAAGGGGTATGGCATGTAACCGCCAGATTCGATCTAAATGTACCCAACAAGAAAATGGATAAATGAGTCTTCCATTTACATGAATTCGGATAGGTAATCTCAACGGACTCTAGCAAAATACCAACTATCAGAAAAAAAATTCTTGGATAAGTGAGATATGTCTTTTTTTACAGATCGTCAAAGTTGCTATCTGAAGCAATATACACTAAAACATGGGAGTTTCTCCGGCTTCAAAAACCATTTTTGACAACCAGCGCACGCATGTACCAACTTTTAGGCAACTGAACCTAATCCAGTGTGATTAGATGTAACTTAAATCCTATCCTCAAAAACTGGTACAAGCGAACGCTGACACCGAATTAAATACAAATTGGACCCAGATGTTAGGCGGTTATTGTGTCTATATTGAATTTACTACTGAAATGTTGCTGATTTCTACACCTCAGCTGCAGACGTCATGTAATTATCAAAAATAATAAAACATTCAAAAATAATCTGTTTGTCTTCTTTGTTGTAGAACAAGTTGGTCGACATATTGGTATATTATCACGACATATCAATTATTCATTGTGGGAAGTAGTTAGAATTCGAAATACACAAACCTTTAAATCACAGCCTTAACAAGAAAATGTAATTAACCCACTCTTTGATCATAAGACAGCAATAGGAAAAATATGTGTATGTGTTTTTTCCCAAGAATACAGGTAACTGCTGTTATAGGTGTTGTCACTCTAACAAATGGATCCAGTTCCCTCTAGCTACTGAACACACCTTTCAAGCAAGGACAGATTGTAAATCTTTCATGAACTTCCATTCATATGTGACTCATGAAATGAGTGTGAAAATTATGTGAGATTCGTGTAAAATATAACAATGGTGACGAGTTTCAGAAATCTCATAGGAGCCGGAAACTGGTATAAAATTGCCTTCACTCCATAACTTGAATACTTGGGTAAACATTCGGGAATACAGTATTGTATAAAATTAATACAAAACCTAATCAGGCGATATTCTCACTCTATGCCATTTTCTTTGTTATTGCATTGACAACAGGGTAGTTATGCACATTTATTTCACCAGGAAAAATCAAACAAAATAGATAGATAAATAAAAGATTATACAATAGATATTATCATCACACGACCAGTAGGAAGTGACAGGCACAAAGTATTTTTTATCAAATTTCCACATTTTTTTTCTGCCGTTTATCAATATTTGAAATATTCCATAGAATTTCCCACTTCGATATAGCATAAAGAACAGTCAGTTATACGTGTAGCGAAAACATCTGACAAACAACTTAAGAAAGTATCTTAACTGTTTTCGGACAATATCCAATGGAGACGAAAAATTGAAAAATAATAAAAGTAGGTTTGAATATGAATTTTAAAGAGGTTCGTGTAAGCAACAGGCGGGTAGTATTGATGTGAGGAATACAATGTACGTTGTAATAACAGCATAAGTATATATTTTACTACATCGTTGTATAAATTTATGTCAATTTGTCGTGTAAACGATATAAATATGGTGTAACTAGAGAAATACATATAATAAAAATGTTTGAACGAGGAAACTAGACATGTTAGATAAAGAACTACATATCATTGTCTGGGGATGAAACGATTGTCAGCAAGATGACGACGTATTAAGAACTGTGAAAAAAGAAAAGATAGAAAACGGATATGCGATGTTTCTGGTTTCAAATACATGTACAACAATAAACTATTGCCAAGACTTGTTAAAAGATAACCAGAAAATCAAAGTTTCAAAGCGCAATAGATAAATGGCAAAGTTATATAAGATTTATTCAATCTATATATATCATGAAAAACTAAACGTTAGTATAAAATAACCCTTTAAAGCTTACTTTAAAGGATATCAAAAAGGGAAGGTTTGTGTATAGCGACAAGAAAAAAGATTGTTTTCTAAATCTCTCTCTCAAAACAGACTTCAATATAAAATCCTCATGGGAAAATACAGTTCAAATTAAATTAATTGTGTTTAAAAAATTCTCATATTACAGTGTAGTTGAATATTATGAAATAAAACTGAATTTCACTATTTTGGATCTGACGAGTAATAGAAGGACGAAATAGTGAGAGGATGCAATTTACTGTATATTTCGTGCAATAATTTTATACGAGTTATTTCCCTTGCAATATGCTTCAAAATTACTCACTGTTATTTATAGGTCAGTGACGCAGATTCTATATATATGTACGCCGTCTTTAAATATAAATAAGCATACAAGACATGAAAACCAGCGGTTTAGAAGAGACGAAGAGGCGAAACGATCAGATTGACCATGGCGACATCTAATACCCAGGTACAGGTTAATTTGTGTCAGGGTTTTATCCAGGCACAGGTTCCTGTGTTTGTAACAAGTGCGATCACAGAGACATGGGTGTGCACTGTCTAAATGATGTACAGTGTACCAGGCTTGTCTGGCAATACACTTATGTACTAATCAATGAAAGACCATGCCAGTTGCCTTTGGTCATGCTTAATTCTTTGTAAATCTGACATCATCAGCACTAATCACAGGGGCTCGTCACTATTTTGAGATATTGAATAGGTTGACCGACAACTCAAGAGCACTTGTAGCTAATACAATGTATAATGACACGCCCCTGTGCACATTTGCTCACAGGGACGTGAAGCAATTTTTACATATATACTTGTAATATAGAAGTTTAAAAATGCACCGGAGCTATGCAAGGCGATGTTGTTCCTAAACGCTACATGTATACAAATGATAACGTATTACCAAAACAGCTCTCACCCCCAGAAACATTCCCCAGCGGTTTTGCAAGGATCAATTATCTGGCCAGATTGGCGAGAATTCCATATGTGATCCCACTTAATTTTTGTATATGTGTTAAAAGATTATATTAACTTTAACAATATTCCCTTGAAAACAACCAATAGGGCATAAAATTATATTGTGATGGACACCAGAATTATTAGTGTCCTTAGGGAAACATGAAAAAAACTGGGCCTGAAAATAAGGCTGGATTTCCTATCAATTACCAGTGTGCAAGGCATTTTGGCATTTTTCAAATTTTAAGAGGACTAGGAACAGGGTTTGTATTAATCTCATTATCTTCAATATATACATGTACCTGAATTTACATTTAATAATTTTGATTTATCCTTAGACACAATCTTTACATTGTGGCAACTGTAACCATCAACACCGGTGGTTTGAGTGCAGTGTTTTATAGATAGTTAAATCAATGAAACCAAATTTTCCTTTTTTTTTTTTTTATTGATGTCTGGCCTTTTTCTATTATTTATCTCTTCTTGATGTAAAACAAATGATTATCTTTCTGTGATGATAGATATCCTAATAACAGATTAGCTAATGTGTGTCATTTGTGATAACTGATGGAAATTATCTCCCTTCCTGTAAATAGGTTTAAACAATATTCTTGCTCTAAGAGTGGTTTCACATATTGTAAAACATCCTACAAAATTAGGATTGTGTATGGCTTTGGCCTCTTTTGGCTGCTAAATCTATCATATTAAATTCTCAAATCATTGTTTTTCATATCATTAATATTGATACTTCCCTGCTACCATTGTCATTATGTATTGAATTTATTTGTTGTTCCAGCTGTGGTTGCTATGTTAACCACCTCAATCATTCCAGAATTAGAGACATGAAGATTTATTTTTATTGATTTTGTCTATTTTTTTCCTACACAGCCATTGAGCTAATCCTTAAACTAGCTAACTTAAACATTCTATGTTAGGTTTCTCAAGAATACTCTCTCTAGCTCTAATTGAATATTCAAATTTCCTAATTTTCAATTTGTTAATATTGCAACCACAAATAGAAAGTTTACAACATATATAGCTTACCTGGTCCAATGAACAGTGAGCTAAATATGCCACAACACAGCATTTGTTTTCCGTCCAGTGTCCGTCATCCAGCATCCAACAGCTTTTTGATAAAAATCACTACTAGTCATGAATGACTGAACAGATTTTGATCAAATTTGGTCCGAAGCATCCATGGGGACTGGAAAATCAAGTTTGTATAAATGTTTGGTCTCTGCCCCCTTGGGCAGGAGAGCACTGCCTAGCTAATAGGGAAATGGAGTTAATTCTTTAAACTCCTTCTCCTCCTGTAGGAAAGAATTGATATTGTCGAAATTTGGTCTGAAGCATGCGAGGATGAAGGTTAATCAATCTGGTATAAACGTTCAGTCTTGGCCCTTTGGGGCCAGAGGAGAAATAGGGCAAATTATTTAAAATCCTACTCCTTCTGAAAGAATGATAGGATTATGACCAAATTCGGTTTGAATCATTTTTTTGGTGAAGAGGAATCAGTTTTGCCAGGTAAGCGAATCAGGCCCTAAGGGCCTCTTGTTTCATTTTATTCTTAGAGAAGTATTCAGAATTACATGTATAGAAGGATATGTAATGGGGTGAACCTAGGGAAAAAGGTGGCCAAAATAAAACATACATGTAGTGGTTACTCATTTCAGTCAAAATGTAAGTCTGCAAAAAGGCTTGGTGATGCTTTTTGTTGAAAACCTTTGTTTGATGTTTTACAGACTGATTCTCAGCAGGAATCTCCTACTGTGCCAGACTTAAAGATAGAAAACCAACCCACAGATGATGGTTCTACATTACATGTAGACTGTGCTGCAATTACACTTGAAGATAGTTCTAAAAGTTTACCTGTAGATGGTGCTCAAACATTATCAGCAGTTGGTACTAAACCTTTACCAGTAGATGGTGCTAAAATTTCATCAGGTGTTGGTTCTACATGTACAGCTTCACCAGTAGATGGGGCTACAGCTTCACCAGTAGATGGTAGTGATGTTCTAACAATAGAGGGTGCTTTAGCTTCAGCGACAGTTGTCACAACAGCATTACAAGAAGATGATGCTAAAATGTCACAAACATTTGGCAAGAAGACATTAGATATCAACAATGATACAGTGCAGAGAATTCTGGGAACAATATTTGGACAATGTGCTGGAGATGCCCTCGGACTGCTTACAGAGTTTCTAACAAAGAAGGAATGTGAAATGGTATATTGATCTTAGCACTAATAATTGATAATATTATTAATTAATTAATTAATAATACAGCCTAATAATCTCATTGCCAGTCACTGGCTGGTCATTTATATTAGATCTACAGATTTTAGTAGTACAATCTAATTTTAAATTCTCTGGTACATGTATCTGTTAGTTTCTTTAACTTATGGAATTTATGTATCATATTATCAATCAAAATTATAGAAATATGAAATAAAAAAAATGTAATTCTTAAAAAAAGTGTTAATATGATTTTGAAGAAGAATTTTATTAATGCTGTTTTGTTTGTGATTTTTGTTTTATAGTACTACAAATCAGTGAAGGAGAACTTAGAATACTCCCATAAGGAGATAGTGTGTGATATGCATCGTATACGATGGAAAGTTGGAGATTGGACAGACGATTCTGACCAGATGATTCTAATTCTGCAGTCACTGATTGACACACAGGGCAAGGTTTTGATCTTTTTTTTTCTGTTTATATTCTCTTTTCTTTATTCGTTTTTGTAAACATTATCTTTAGGAGAAGAAAATTTAGAATGTGGCAAGGCTACGTGTCACTTAACTGTGAAGATATGGTGAAAACTTTGATGAAAAAAGTTTAAAAAATATTGAACAGATTTAATTTCTTGCTTTTTCCGTCCTGTACTCAGAAATCTCTAATGGGAACCTACATGTTTCGAATTATCAAATTTTGACCTGTTGAACAGGTTGATGTAAATGACTTTGCAAGAAAGATAAAGAACTGGATCAAGAGTGGATTTCCAGAGTTAGGTGATTTTGCTGGAATGGGCCAAGGGAAGACAACTATGACCGTAATAAAAAACCCAGACTATGTGAATGATCCACATGCTGTGAGTTTTTCAAATCTTATTTGACATTAGTAAATTGTCTTAGGAATCTTGAAATATCTATGCAGTATAGATTTTCAAAAATTATTGTTTCAGTAAAATACCTGAATGATTTTAATGTTCGTGAAGAATGGTTTACAATCAAGCGATGGTTATATCTGATATTTATGTTACAAAATTGCTCTGCGATGGTGTTATGGTACTGAGTAATTATTCTTTCATCAAAGGCTGCTGATCTGGTGTGGACAGCTAATGGTAAAGTCTTGGCTCCAAATGGATCAGTGATGAGGACAAGTATCCTGGGAGTCCACATGTATTCAGATTTAGACACTGTGGTACAGAATGCCATTACCATTGGGAAGGCAACTCATGCTGATCCAAGGTAATAAACAAGATTTTTAATCATTTCTTCAGGTATAAATAGCACATGGAAAACAAGATTATTGGTGGCTTGTATGTAGGACAGTGGTGGCTGGATAGTGAGAGGACAGATTAGTGATAGCTGGTGTGTGGGACAGCTGTGGCTGGATAGTGAGAGGACAGATTAGTGATAGCTGGTATGTGGGACAGCTGTGACTGGATAGTGAGAGGACAGATTAGTGATAGCTGGTATGTGGGACAGCTGTGACTGGATAGTGAGAGGACAGATTAGTGATAGCTGGTATGTGGGACAGCTGTGACTGGATAGTGAGAGGACAGATTAGTGATAGCTGGTATGTGGGACAGCTGTGACTGGATAGTGAGAGGACAGATTAGTGATAGCTGGTATGTGGGACAGCTGTGGCTGGATAGTGAGAGGACAGATATAGTGGTAGCTGGTATGTGGGACAGCTGTGGCTGGATAGTGAGAGGACAGATTAGTGATAGCTGGTATGTGGGACAGCTGTGACTGGATAGTGAGAGGACAGATTAGTGATAGCTGGTGTGTGGGACAGCTGTGGCTGGATAGTGAGAGGACAGATTAGTGATAGCTGGTGTGTGGGACAGCTGTGGCTGGATAGTGGGAGGACAGATATAGTGGTAGCTGGTATGTGGGACAGCTGTGACTGGATAGTGAGAGGACAGATTAGTGATAGCTAGTATGTGGGACAGCTGTTGGCTGGATAGTGGGAGGACAGATTAGTGATAGCTGGTGTGTGGGACAGCTGTGACTGGATAGTGGGAGGACAGATTAGTGATAGCTGGTATGTGGGACAGCTGTGACTGGATAGTGAGAGGACAGATTAGTGATAGCTGGTATGTGGGACAGCTGTGACTGGATAGTGAGAGGACAGATTAGTGATAGCTGGTGTGTGGGACAGCTGTGGCTGGATAGTGAGAGGACAGATTAGTGATAGCTGGTATGTGGGACAGCTGTGGCTGGATAGTGAGAGGACAGATATAGTGGTAGCTGGTGTGTGGGACAGCTGTGGCTGGATAGTGAGAGGACAGATATAGTGGTAGCTGGTATGTGGGACAGCTGTGACTGGATAGTGGGAGGACAGATTTGATAGCTGGTATGTGGGACAGCTGTGGCATTAGTGGTGTGATAGCTGGTGTGGACAACAGATATAGTGGTGTCTGGATAGTTGGACAACAGATATAGTGGTGTCTGGATAGTTGGACAACAGATATAGTGGTGTCTGGATAGTTGGACAACAGATATAGTGGTGTCTGGATAGTTGGACAACAGATATAGTGGTGTCTGGATAGTTGGACAACAGATATAGTGGTGTCTGGATAGTTGGACAACAGATATAGTGGTGTCTGGATAGTTGGACAACAGATATAGTGGTGTCTGGATAGTTGGACAACAGATATAGTGGTGTCTGGATAGTTGGACAACAGTGTGGGGGATGTGGCTGGATAGATATAGTGGTGTCTGGATAGTGGTGTCTGGATAGTTGGACAACAGATTAGTGATGACGGGGTAGTTGGACAACAAGAGTTATTGATTGGACCTCCAGATTAATAGTGGCTAGCCAGGGGGACAATAAGATAAACAGTGGCTGCCTAGTGAGACAATCAGACTAAATGGTGGTTGGGTACAACCTGATTGTGTAGTTGGACAACAGATGGTGTCTCGATAGTGGGCCCACAAGATCATTTGTGACTGAAGATTTGATTTGATAAACAAGGCAGCACTTAGATAAAAATACTGTTATGTAGTTATCATTTTGCCTGACCTGATACAATATACATATTATTTCCATTGAATTTGCAAGAAAATGTATTTATCAGAAATGTTTCTTATTTTTACAGTGTATGTATCAAAAGAGTGCAAGTTGTTGTGTATATCTATTGAAGTCAATTCTTTTTTTTTATTTTAAATCCAAATAAAAGATTTTTTTAGAACACTGAATATGTCATTTACAACCATAAATTATTTTTGGCAGGTGTCAGGCCTCTGTGGTAGCTGTTTGTGTGGCTATAGCCTTAATGTTACAGCGCCAACCTAAACATCTGGACAAGAAAGGAAATTACAATATCAAAGCAATTATAAATGATTGTTACGACTATGCATCAAAGTGTCTGGAAACTGAAAAGGAGGTAGAATATCAGAACATTCATTATTCTAGCACATTTCCATAAAATAAAATTGCTGTTTTCATGAAAAATAATTTATATCTATAATATTAATCTATGGTTGCAAGATCCAAATATTTTGTAATATTAGCATGTGTAGTTTGTGTACAGGCAGAGTTTTGAATTTCACTTCAGAATATAAATTTTTGAATGTTAGAACTCTAAACAAGTGTATGTATATTTTGACAGTCCATTAGATACACAGATCAATTTTTTATTTTTTGAATTTATATTTTTAATTCAAAGCTAATACCAAATTGGATTGGATAGGATAATACTCTCACTCTCAACATCCTTAGGATATTTGAAACATTGAACATTGAAATATTGACATGCACCTCTTTACAGATGAAAGTATTTAACTGATATTCATTTCTACCTGTGATCTCTTTGATACACCATAAAAAGGATCATCCAGAAGAACAAAATTGACTGACTGATTGTATTTCAAGATGTGCTACTGTATGTTTGTAATATACATTGAAGATTTGATTTCACTTTATTTACAGTCATTAAGCATAAATATGAAATGACAATTACATTGATTTGAAAAATGATGACCATCATTCTTTTAAACTGGGTATTTTGTACCACTGCTTGACTATCATTCTTTTAAACTTGATATGTTGTACCACTGCTTGTAGCTTTTGTGTGTAAATGCTGTACCAATGGTATTTAAAATCAGGCTTCAAAAAAATGTTAAAGCATTTTCGATAATTTGATTTTTCCAGAAAAAAGAACTGAAGACATACCTGAAGTGTACCAAACTAAAAGAATTAAAACTAGATGAAGAAGGAAAAATAGGATATACATACAAGTCTATGGGGACAGCTTTCTGGGCTTTAAAGCAGGAGAATATAAGGGAGACAATTACAAAAATTGTGATGGAGGTTTGTACATGTAACACTAACGATAAAATCACATATTTGTATTCTGTTTTCTTAGGTCTGCTTAGTAATATCAAATAATGAATCTAAATCAGGTTATATTTCTTCTCATTTTGTTACTACTGTGAGAGATCACAGTACATTTGAGCATTAATCATTTCTGAAGTTTTATAAATTGTTTGTTAATTTGTCCGTTCTTGTGTTACCTTGACATTCCAAAGCACTGTATCTTGTGTGTATATTCATAAGATTCTCAGTTCACTTCTCTACATGTTATGAAAATGAATCAAGACATTTTATTTGAAGAAGATTTGTAAATGCTTCTAAATAACAAAGACCAGTCCGTCCGTCCATGTAAATGTTAATCTTCTTGTCTCTCATGTGCTGGCTAGTCATACATTCAGGAGAACATGGGCTGAGCCTAGCATTTTTTCATTTTTGTGAGCCTTTGGCTTGAAAAATTACATCACACTTGTAGTACTTTGATTAATAAAGAATTAAATCAAATCAATGCCAGATTTTATAAAATTTCAACAAAAAGCATTTTTTTCCATGTACTAATAGAATTAAAATACATGGAGCTACTGTCAGATCATATCTAACAGACGATGATTAATATTGTTAAGACAAAATCCATATTTATCTTACAATAAGAGATAGTTCAAGACAGATAAATAATACATTACTCTATTTTTCCCATTTCCTATCTTCTGATTTGGTTATGAATATGAAGACAGGGAAACCACACAAATAGAGATACTCTTATATGAGATTCTGTTTATCATCTTACTTTGATTTAAAATTTTGCAAACATTCATGTAAAAACTACTTTAAGCATTGATATGAAATCTATTCACTCAAAATCTCAATCTTTTACGATGTCACAACACAGACGAAGCCATAAAATGATAACGTCACAATTGATATAATAAAAAATGTCGAGCCCATCCTTACAACATTATAGCCAAGATATATTTAAAAATGTGGTCATATTAAAATCTATGTGATTAATATTATTTCATTGTTAACAGGGTAGTAACATGAAAAAAAAAGAAATTCACTTTGTATGTGATATATTTTTCAGGGAGGGGATGCTGACTCCAATGCTTGTGTGGCCGGAGCATTAATGGGATGTAAATATGGTGCTGGAGCAATTCCGAGCAGCTGGACTCAAAACCTAGTTCATAAGGAATGGCTGGAGGCAATTATTGATAGGTATGTTTACTGTCTCACTAGATGTATTCACCAGGTACATGTAGGTGACTTTACCTAAAGGCACACAAGCCAGTATTGCTTACCTGTAAGATAAGTCATGGTATATTTTAATCACAAACATTTAACTAGTTAACTCACATCCAGGTTAACTCTTATCATTGAACAGTTATTAGGAATATGACATGTAGACTATGCTTTATATTGGTTATAAACAAAATAAAATAATCAACAAATTTGGCTTGTATTTAAATTAAATCAAACTCCATGATTTTATGGTTCTGTAGAAGAAGATTTTGGAAGTTTTAATACATATATCTGTTACCATGGAAGTTTTTGATAGCATTTCATATAACTTAGTCAAAGAGAATGCACTTTTATCATTATGTGTCTTTGTTTTCAATGACAGGTATTTCTGTATGATGGCTGAAGTACACAACATTGACTTTACACCATACTGGACTGGACATTTGTCATGAGCATATGTGTGGACAATAGTTACCCTGTTGTGTTGTTTTATGATGAGGGTTCCAACGCCACAATATCAAACAACCTAGTAAAATTGGTCACATAAATCAATGATTATCAACATTGCTTTTATATAGCTCTCATATTTGCTCCTAGCTGGATATTGATGCTAAATGACTGTCTCATTACAAACAGTTAAAATTTTTAGATGTCCTCAGGAGCTGAAATATTAGTTCCAGATTAACATATTATGCTGCTGACTCAATACGTTTTCGTGCTCTAATTGTTGAATCAGAATGCTTGTGCCAAAGAAGAAATCATGAGGCTAATTCTTGATGTACAATATATGTAGAATTATTTAGGGGAGTGCAATACAATTTCTTTATCAACTGGCGGAGCTTAATTAATTGCATACCATTTAATATATTATCATGTTTAAATATATACCATGACATTTTTAAATAATGATGAACATTTTTTTTTTGTTACAAAATTTCCTCTTGTTCTTGTGATAAGGGATGTCAGAATTCTACACTGTATGCCCAAAATTCCCATCATTTTATTGGCGGTGTGAACAAATCATAAACACTTTTTTAGCTTGCCTATTTCAAGTTTACTGATGAGTCTGATTGAGTACAATAATGATTATGTTACTGATGTGTTCATAGCATGGTAATTTGTTGTCAATAAATTAAATTATGACTGTGAAATATAAATGCTATAATATCTTTTTTTTATTTTAGCTGTTTGTTTTAGATTGAATATACTTTTTTATATACAATATACCTGGCTTTTGTTTTATTTAATGATAATGTAAGTTCTTTAAAAATCCTTCTTATGTAGGAATAATTGAATTTTCTACAACATTGGTTGAAGCATTCGTACATGTACGTGTAATTACAGGGAATTACTTATGTATAAACAGTGGGTATAAGACCCTCTGAGGCAGGAGTGGTAGTGTCCAAAAAGGGGAAATTGGAGCAAATTTCTTTGAAATCCTTTTTAAGAATGTCAGAAAATCAATAAAATTTTGTGAAAGTATCTTACTCATTCAGTAGGAATGCTTGGGCTCCGTCCCAATTAGTCTGAAGCATCCGAGGGTGAAGGAGGAAACAATATTAAGAAGGACTGGAGGGTATCGTCTTTCTAGTAAAGAGCGGGAGGCCCAGCTGAGAAAGTAAAACAAATGCTTTAGATAGGAAGGGAGGGAGGGAAACTCGTCGGTTATTTTACACGTGTGGGTTGTTCTTGTCTCAATATAACTGAACTAACACTGAAGTAAACCGAATAAGGCATAACCGCTTATTAATCATTTATCAAATTAATATGTTTTGGGAGTTTGAGAAATACACACGAAAAATAAAATCCGCAATATATTCCGTGGATTCAGATGTCCATACTAAAATGTAACTATCTTCAGGATTGACTGGAATATCACTAGTACTTTTAGTTCGTAAGTAACTGGGGTCAAAGTAATAAAAGTTCACCGTGTAGAGATCGCTAAGACAGGCAGTTTTGTAAATGATTGATGTACTGACATGTCCGCTGTCGAACAATTGATTTACATGTAAATGAATAACTTCTGGAAAAGCTAGCGACGCTGCCGAAAGAAAAACCAACTTGTCAAAAGTATAACTTCATATAGGTTGTAAGTGGTCCATGGTTTTGCATAGACCGTTTTGAGACTGATCAAACGACAAGAAGGCCGACAGGCAGCCATGTTGGTTTTTGACAGTTATAATTTGTTATTGTTATTTCGGTACAGGATTGGTATTTCCAAATTACATATTAAGTTTCCCTTTGGCCGTTTGTTGTGTGTTTTTTTTATATTTATTTTGAAAGTAATCAGAAATTCAAAATGTCTGAAAGTGGGCTATGTCAAATTTTGACTATAAAAAATTGCTATTACTTTTTAATGAGAAGTACTGGATGGATCCGCTTACCATTATTCCATTGTTCATGTACTTAAATAACACAAAGGGAAATCTGTAGGGAAATTTAATTTTGTGCGTCATCAATTAGTGATGAAATGATACGATTTGTATGATTAAAACGTGATGGCACTTAATATGTTTGTGCACCTGATTGCCTGAGATTTCAAATTTCATTTAACTGAGAATGAGTAGAACTGAAACCTCGCTGTAGCAAAATTATACAGCAAAATCTTATAAAGTTGGTCGTTGGTGGAACATCTTGCAATGTTTCATTGTCGAACTAATGTCATCTCGATTGATAACCGAGCTTGTGCTGAAATGATAAAAATAAGATAAATACTTTTTATCTTTAATATCAACAAATATAAAAGAATATCATTTCATTCTCTATGTGGATCTATCGTCATCTACGTATATCGTGCATTTTTTTAAATGAAGCTGTCGGTAGCAACAAACTCATTCCATACTAGATCCACGAGTTATCCCCCCTCGTTCAAGAAGTATTTATAATTATTATAATTAGGTAGCATGACTGACAAGAAGCAGACGGGAGGACGAAACCAAGATTAGTATGGCATCAGCTGATGCTAAGGTATGAAACACAATGATACGATAGATGTTTGCTGATATATTTCATAGACTAGCCTAGTCTAAATTTCCGTGTGGATTATAATGTCATTACCATATGGAGCTAACAACGTTCTAATCTTAGCACGTAAAATCGATGGGTCTCTCTGCATTTGAGATTGTGTAATATATCGGACTTGAGTAAGGTTACAATGGGTGGGGCTTCAGTTGTACAGGTAAAGCCCAACCCTCATCTCCATCACAGTCGGTCTAAATCTAGAGTTGTCGTTCTTTTCAATAACAAAGATAGACTTGCACAAGTTCTGAGATAAAAGTTATGAAGGCGAAAGCAATCAAACCATGTACAATATTGACTGTTAGTAAGTGAGTGATTTTTAAGGTCATCCACTTGCATTATAAAAAGGAAAGATGGGGAACTGTCCCCACTTTAATCCAAATAGACATAATATTATTGAAATTTCTTTGAAACAGTGATGGAATTAACTCCAGCTCTTAACAAATTACTACACGTTCATCAATATCCAACATTCGACTAAGATCGATCATCAGTTTCAGCCTCAGCGTTTTTAACTTCGATGTAATCAAAACTTAGGAGTATATTATGTCCTTCGATAAGAACTCTTGTTACTAAGGATAGTAATATAAACATACCATCTACCATGGCTCGGACACTAGCCTGAACATCGACAGAATATGGTTATTTTCTGCCCGGTAGTTAACCTGCTAGCTACACGAGTATACATGCTTGCAAATAGTTTATAGGAGGCTTAAGTGGTAACCAGTTATTAGTAGAATTGGAAAAATACGCGTAACTAATTCACAATTTTATCATTAATTTATCTGAAAATGTTAAATGTTTTATCTCGTTTTGTTTCAATGATTTTGATGAACCAATTGACGTACTTGAAGAAAACCAACACGACTGAAATAAACGATACACCATTTTAATGTATCAATTTTATGTTTTTCAAATAACAATTAAACTGCCTTGTACCAATACACGAATCAACAGTTCAAGTTTGTACATATTTGAATTGGAGTTCTGATTTTTGCTTAATTTAGAAGACAAAAACAGATGACATAATAATGCAAAAAAATAGTAAAACGAATTTTACATAATGTTAATTGCAGACTGAAGATCAACGTGGACCTTCTGTTGTCACAGATTCTGGAGTCATACAACCCACAAAACCTGACTCCGTAACATCATCGCTAGATGGCGACACATCATTGTTAGGAAAAGGCAGCACCTCATCCACAATAGATGACGCTATAACGAAATCTGAATGTGACGTCACATCAAAAACAGATGGCGCCACATCACCTTTAGCAGAGGTTGCTATACCACCACTAGTAGAGGATTTGAAAACACCACCAACAGACAATAGCACTGATACTCCGGTAGATGGCACTGCAACTTCATTAAACGACGGCGCAACACTACCACAATCAAATCCTGAGCCCACTCTACCATCCCTAGATGGCAGTAAAAACACACCAGCAAGAATTCCCAAAAAGCCAGTGAATGTGACCAACGAAACAGTTCAAAGAATCCTTGGAACAATCTTTGGACAATGTGCTGGGGATGCTATTGGACTGCTTACAGAGTTTCTGACGAAAGAGGAATGCAAAGAGGTATTGTTCACCTGCTGTTTTCAACGTGTTCGTCTATACATGAACTTCTAAACCTACATCATGTGAAGTCTTATATTTTATTTTCGTACGTTTTGTCATTCTTTCATCACCACAAGAGATTTCTTTTTGATAAAAAAGGGTTTAAATGGTATTTCTGAAGAATTTCAGTGACTGAGTCTAGCGGCACTGCACTATCATGAAGACTCGTTGTTCTGTTTTTAAGGTGATTATTAATATAGCGAAATTGTTCTAATGTAACCCGTAATATCCTTGATTGATTATTGCTATTGTCGGTTCTGAAGATGTTTAATGTTAAGAACCAACAGAACAAAGATTCAAATTATTACTGTTGAAGACATCTATTGGAATGGGCCATTAAGTAATTGATTTGACTAGTTTTGTTAATCGGTGTAGCACTACAAGACGATGCGGAAGGAACTGGAATTTTCTCACAAGATTGAGGATCATCATCGCGTACACTGGAAAACGGGCGACTGGACAGATGATTCGGACCAGATGATTCTCATACTTCTGTCTATCGTCGAAAACCAGGGCACGGTAAAACACTGAACTGAATTGCCGATTTAAAGAAAGTATATATATTTCCGAGTGATAAATTTGTATCTATTCGTGTTGGAATTAACACTTGATGATATTTAATTCCTGAAATGAAATTATCGTATGGTGTTCCTTTCTGAAATGTTTCGTAAAAAATGAAAAACTCAAAACCGGGATTTCCACGCAGCTTAACTTAATTGTTTTTATTCATTTGCGGTTATATAAACTTTAAAGGCGTGAAAATAAGTGTTGTTTTAAGTCTATCGACACGTACTTGACAGGTCGACCCGTTTGATTTCGCTAGACGCATAAAAGACTGGGGACTAAAAGGATTTCCTGAGCTGGGGGATCATGTTGGAATGGGACAAGGGCGGACAACTCATTTTGTCATCAATAAGCGAACTTACCTTGAGGATCCATTTGCTGTAAGTGTATATAACATAACCAATACATTTTCAGCCATAAAATCAGAAGGGGGACATTTTTCTATACTGCAGAAATTGTACCGCCAGCCAAAGCTACGTTTTATGGCATGTTAACCGTCAACTCAGTATCAAAGGTGTAAAACTAAATACTGGTATGTGACGTTTTTATTTAATTCAAGTTCAATGAGTGTTATTTGTTTGGTGTTTTTAAAAATTATTGTAAGAAATAGAATTATTTTCTGCATCAGACTGCCGAACGTGTATGGGACCTTAATGGAAGGGACGTAGCCGCTAACGGTGCCGTGATGCGGACAAGTATCCTGGGAGTCCATATGTACGCCGATATCGATCTCGTCATACAGAATGCCATTACTATTACCAGGACAACTCATGCTGATCCAAGGTATTGAATGACACTAACTCTAAATTATATTGAGATATAACCTTCTCTTAAAGTTTTTTAACGTATTCATTTTTTTTTCTCTCAAAATCACTAACGCTGAGACGCAGTGTGTATTGAAGGATTGTTAATTTGGTGACACAATATTTAGACGTCCCCCAAGGAATAAAAGAAGAAAAGAATAAAAAAAAATATGTTTGGAGTTTATAATGAACTCTTAATTTTCCGTTATTTTTTTCGTTTTAATAACAACATGTATCCATTTTGTAGATTGATGAAAGTAATGTTACATTTCGGTTGAAGTAAATACTCTGGGAGCTACAAAATGCACGAGATTTCAATCACTTGCATAACGTTATTTATAAATTACTTGTCATAGATATTCATGGTTTTGAAACTAAGTGGAAACGACACAGTAAAAAATCATACTTATATCTGACGATTGTTTCCATCGTTGATTATGATAAGTCAAAATTGTTCAGCTTCAAATTCTCCCAATGTGAAATTAAAGCTGCTCGGTATAGTCTGAAGAATTGGATCACTTTTTTCGATGGTAAAAGAAAAAAGAACTGAAATCCAACCATAACATGCAAATGTTTCACTTCACACTTGTTTTGAATTTGAATAAACTGTCTGAAGGTGCTTTACAAGTATGTGTGCCTTTTGCAGTCTTTCTGAATCTGGTAAACGAAGTAATCGAAATGATCTTTTGTCCATCCAACATGTTATTTATGCTCAATAAGTTAAAACTGTCTTTGATTGACCAGATGCCGAGCGTCAACGGTAGCTGTGAGTGTTGCCATAGCATTAATGTTACAACGTCAGCCAAAACATTTGGACCGTAAAGGCAATTACAACATCAAAGCAATCATCCGTGACTGTTATGAGTATGCATCAAAGTGTCTGGAAACTGATGAGAAGGTAAAACGTTCAATGGTTTTGTCTTCAGTCTCTTGAACCTTCAGAGGTTCAATTTGATCTTTTATTGATATAAACAAACAGAATATCAGAAGTTCTATTCGAAATTTAAGACTTGTATCTTCATTGACATGTAGACAAAAACTTATCATGGACGAAGGTATGTTTATAAACGACCAAACTGTGCTTCCGTTTCATTTAATTATACATTTTGGTACATTGTATTAACGACTTAAGATGTAACACAATGAAAAGGATATAAGTGTGTTTAAGCTTAAACTGAGAAGAAATTTCTGGAATTCATATCAAGATATTGAAGGGAGTGATGATCTAAGATATATCTTTGCTGTGTTGAATGATAAAATACAAATTCTACCCTATTCATGATAAGTTCACTATCGAAATTTCACGAATAATCTTAATCCATTTATAGTTCGGTTAAACAAGGTGTCAGTGTGTGGGTTGTTGGTAATAAAAAAAAAACATTTGTCAACAGAATTTTCTTCGTCAATAAGCCATCTACAGTTTTATGTGTTTTTGTTATTTCAGAGAAAGGAATTTAAGACGTATCTTAAATGTACAAGATTGAAGGAGCTGAAACTAGACGAATCAGGGAAAATCGGATACACATACAAGACGATGGGGTCAGGTTTTTGGGCTTTAAAGCAGCAGAATTTCAGGGAGGCGATCACAAAAATTATAATGGAGGTTCGTACCATATTTTCCACAACTTGGTGATTTGATAATGTTAACAGAAAACGTGGATGTATTGAATGGCATTGGTTAATGTAAGATAATAAGCAGCCTAGCTCTAGTATGTTCTTAAGAAGCGATGTAACAAAACAATTGAAAAGAACATAAATTGGTGAACGTAGTCATTCATATTTTTTCTGTAGGGTGGAGATGCTGATACTAATGCATGTGTGGCCGGTGCAATGTTGGGATGTAAATATGGCGCTGAAGCTATTCCGACGACCTGGACACAAAATCTACTTCACAAGGAATGGCTGGAGGCAATTATAGACAGGTATATTTAAAGTTTGGAATATTTGTACTGTTATAAGTTATAGAACTGTGAAGCTGTAACGTTATTTCACAGCTGTTTTGTTTTCGTATTACATCTTGTTTATACATATTTCAACAAAGCTGTGCCGGAATTAATTATATTTTATCTTTCTTTTTAATTGCTGAAATAAGATTTGAAAAATTTGAAAGGCAATTGGTGAAATATTGGTATTTCTGAATGAAGCGTTTTATCATAAACTGTCTTTGTTTTTAATTACAGGTATTTTCATATGATGGCAGAAGTACACAACATTGACTTTACACCGTATTGGACCGGACATTTGTTATGATTGTGTGTTGATGAGCAAAGTAGTAGGTGCTGTCTTGTATCATGGTACGGGTATTGGACAAAATTACGCTGTGTCAAGGGGAGTTACATACTTGTAGTTGTTTTTTGTGAAAATATTAAACGAAGACTTTTTATAAAAAACATTGTTTCAGTATAGAAGCTTTTACAATTCTCTGGAACATCGATTGGTAATGTAGAGACTATCTGTACAGCAGATGTTTGCTGTACCTAATGTATGTACCGGTATTATCTGCTGATGTGATCTAGTCATAAGTATAAGTGTTCTGTGGTACACTTGTGTGCGGAGATGGCATTGTTTATATACGACATATACGATGTATCATTTATTTGAATTTTTATTTAAAATATAATCTCATTGTTAAACTTTTTATTCGTATTTAATTTAGATAAAAATAAAGTTTTCTTGTTTCCTTAATGTCATCTCTGTTATATGTAGATATATATTTTTTATTTCATATCATCAATGTTTTAATTTAAACGAAATCATAAAAAACTATGCTACAGGTTATATGTGATAGTATCTATCATAACATGTATTCGCTTAAACTACCCCCTCAATCATCTCTCTCTCTCTCTCTCTCTCTCTCTCTCTCTCTCTCTCTCTCTCTCTCTCTCTCTACTACTACTACTACTAAAATGTGTAGTTAGTGTATTTGTTGTCATATGGCTATTGCGTTGTCTAACTATATTTCGTTATATATTGGGGAAAGGGTGTTTCATACGTTGTAATAACTTGTACCTAATCCTGTTGTAATAATTTTTGCAATAAAATATGTTTAATTAAAAAAAATACATTACATTCTTCACGGTATCATTCATGTTATATGTATTTGATAGGCAACAGAAAAAGGCGTGATTGGAATTTAAATTATTTTAGAGTCATTTACAATTTTTGTCAGCGTCCGCAATAAGATTTCATTATCTGTGCCAAAAGGGGAAACGTTTCCTTATTTGGTGTCTGGAAAGAGATTACCTTGAGTAACGTAAGAGTTGTAATAGCTTCAGTACCAGACTGAGACAACCACACTGTAACTTCGAATATCTTAAACAAATCATCTTTCCACATGGAATTAGTATTATCACAAGTTAGGTACAGGAAAGGAGTGTCTCCATGCTAGATTTTTGAACAAATTTAGTTATTTTCTGTGTTCATATATTATTAACTATGATAATGCTATCCACGAGGGATACTTTAAACCGAAGTTAATGGACATCAATATAGAAAAAAGTGTAATATATGATTACATGTAAGCAAACAGATAGTTTTGTATCCTTCTTCTGATTTTATCACACCTCATGTTAATGCACATACAATATTTTACTCTAAACGACATTTTTGTATTACGTGTTTAAATGAATCAAACTGACTAGGCAAAATTATTTTGCAGACATCTGTCTGATATATTGAATTTGTTTACACTATCACTTGCTATCACATGCTTATATCTAAAAATATTGAGACAATTTTTATTGTATATTTTGAAACTGCTGTATATCGAATTTTATGCACGTACGTACTCGTAAAATTCAATCATCGAATGTGCTAAAAAGTAATCACACTTCGTGCTGCACAGTTGCCTCGTGAGATTACAAGTATCGGGTAGACGTGTTTATAGGTCACACGTACACCGACAAAACATGGAGAAGGCAGCAATTGGTCTTATTTGTAAGGTGACTGCCACAACATCTGCAGGCCTGTTTGCTGGCAGTGCCTTGGGCAGTAACTTCACAGCAATGCCAGCCATGATGAAGATTGAAGATACGGCGTCATTACGGGTGGGATGGAAGCACCATTTCCTCCTCGGAAAGGCGTATATGGTAGGTACATGCTGAAGTCACGTAGCAAGGTCATATAAAACCCCTACTTTAAATGGAAGAATGTCAATATGTTTCAATGCTGTTAATATATATTTATGTAAGATATGAAAAAACAAATATTGTTTAGATGTTAAAACACGTGGAAGTAGTGATTGTCTTGTTGAGTGTGGCCTCATTTACATATTTGAATGTTTACTTAACACATGTATTTTGCTTCAATATACTATTTTCTAATCAGTAAAATGATTCAATAGTACGTTTAAATTCACCCTTTAAATAAACAATCGAAATGATAGACAACTAACTTATTTAAGAACTCCGGAATTTGATTGTTTTTCACCGTTGGAATGTGTTAAACAAACAGTCCCTTCGAAGCTTGCACGAAACCTTGACATTGGTTTGAACCAGTTTTGATATATTTTTACCCATCATGTACCGGGGTATCCATGCTGACATTTTTTGTTTGTCACATTCAATTTGTGTTTATCATAAAACCTTTGTAAAGTTAGACAAATTCCTTGATCTCTTTGTAAAGTTTATAGCGGTTGTAGATAAAACAAATCAGGTGTTAAAAACCGCCCACGATAGTTCGAATACACATGAATCGATAGCCAATGCTAATGACATGGGTAGCCTGTTTAAATCTGCTGTTATAAATTGCTTCCATGTCTTTTACAAAGAATTTGTTGTAGTTGCTTACAGAAAGGCCCATAGCTAAATGTCAAGGGAGCTCAGTTGATTCAATTGTTTTCCAAACCTCCTTACTACAGTCATTATTTAGATGTACATGCTGCTCCTTGTTGATGTTTAATATTTTGTATGTGACGGACGTGTTTGATGTTCGTTGCTTTGCCTGTTAGTTCCGTTGTTGTATACATTGTTCTTTCTTGGGAACATGACATTACGTACTTGTGTTGACTTAGACTCATATAGCGTGTTTTATCGATGAAGCAAGAGACGCAGTTCCGTAACACCTGATCCAATTCTCCGTGTACATTTTCAGGAGTCTCCGTGTAAATTTTTCGTTTGTTCATATTTTACCCTACTTTTATCGAATTCGAGTTTGACTTGATTATGTTGACACTTTAGTATTTTCTCGTTGTTTTAAATGATTATATCAAAAGCGATGACGGCGTAGAAATGGTATTAGCGATTACCTCAAAGTTGGACAATTATACTGTGCTAAATGTAAGTTGACAGTTGTACATTATCAAGACGCCATTACCGTGTCGGTAGGCTAGAAATTGATGTGAAAAACTTAATTATTTCAAATAGATATACGCAAGGCATTTTAATGCTTGTCTGTAACTGTTATATGTATAAAACTTATCCATTTTCATTTTTACAGGGGCGTTGTGCACAACTTAGTTTTCTAGCAGGATGTTCGGCATGTTATCTCGACAACACAGAAACCAAATACTACTGGCTTGCTGGAGCAGCTAGCATGTTCTTCATTTTTCCATACACAGCATTAGTTATGTTTTCCGACATCCAAAAACTACTGAAGGATGATGTTATATCGACAAGAGGTATTGGCGAAATTAGTAATAAATCCATTATTTTACAACGTACACGTTTCATACATGGATATGTAGTTTACTACCTTTGTCTTATCACGTCATAGTTAAACATGACGTCATTGTCTAATTCATGGTTCAATGATTTTAACAAATTTAATGTTAACTGCAGAGAAAAAAATAACTGTACTTGTAAATAATAAGAATAGCTTCATTGCCTCTCCTGTATTTCCTCAAAGCTTTATGTTAAAATATAACAGGTTCTCAGAAAACTTAAGTTCATGAGGTTGTGTTACACATACACTGTTCGCCAAGAGGTCATTAATTCTAAACACCAAACATGATCCTTTTACACAGATTTATCTAATCGATATTGGAATAACCCTTTTGTCTACTTCATAATCTCTTGGAAATGTTCCCTTTCGAGTGTATTTAAACAGAGTAATTCAGGATAATGAAATGAGGAAATGCTACATTAAACCATCTCTATAGTTTTCTTAACTAATTCATGCTTTGCATATTGCCATGTTTATATTCAAGTTTTGATTTCTTTTTAGGAGTAGACTGGGTTCGAGCCAGCATCAATACCTGGGACAAACGTCATTTTAAGCGCAGCATGGCGGGTGCCATCGGTTTTGGAATATTTCTATACGCGCTTTATAATAGAACATAATATATTTCCCGTTTATCGCAAAAAAAATATCTGTTGTTTCTCGTTATTAAGGCAAAGATATCCAATATAAAAAGTCAATAAAGCACACATCTTCAATGTGTTCTTGTTGTATGTCTTGTAATACAGTCTGTATATCAGGAGTAAGTATTGAATTATGAATATTAGAAACATCATTGGTGATTTTTGTTATCTTCATCAATCAAAGTCTCATTGGGAAGCTGTTTTTTCCTTTAACAAAAAAAATCCCATGCAGGTAGTCACCGTTCATCTAATGAAATATTGGATTCAATTTATCAAGAACAGACGTTACATTTTCCTGTATAACTAGATGATATTCAAAAGTAAATACATATACACCTACAGTTAGAAACTCATCTGATATCAGTATTTACACAGAGTCAAGCAAGATGACGTCGAGTTCATGTTGTTAACACCATAACGTGCCATATGCAAAGAGTTGTGGCATTCGACGGCTCTATATTAGCTTGCATGTAATGTAGCCAGTCTGATAAGTTCGATCCGATAAGTATTTCCTGCAATAGTTATGTTATTAGACACTTTTCGGAACCCAATGGAATGTAGTATTCAAAAACGGATTTAGTCAAAATATAATTTTTAGTTTGTTCAGTTCTGAAAAAATCTACCCTTTCTGCGGCGATTACCGCCTTTAATGTTATAGTCAGTGTATGAATACTGCATACTTAATATATGGTTGTTTCATGGCACCAAATACATTAAGATAAGCATTCAATATACAAGCAATGTTGATTTTCCATGACTTAAGGAACAACAAATGTCATGTTAGTTTCTTCCTGTTCATATTTACCTTAATTTCATTAAATTTGAGCCAGGATTATGATTCTCTTCACATGTTAGTATTTTCTTGTTTTTTTTTTTTTTTTTTAAACTCACAAATATCGCTTAGACTTTATTAAGAGCATTAATTTGATGGTAATAAATTCATCAAAGTTTTCTGTGGGCTTGTACCACAAGTGTGATACGAGTTGTGGAATAACTTTTCTCGCCGAAACTACTTTTTACGGGGAAATATATATTACTAGCTGAATTAAACAACAATCCAAACGCGTTATTTCTACTTCGGAATATAGTGTTTCCTGGAATGAACATTTACATGTCTCGGTTAATTACTTATAAGAATGGCGGTTCCCATTACGAACCCGACTCTCTCTGAAGATTCCATCACGGAATCAAGCGTCTTTTCCACAGAAAAAAAATACTCCAACAATATTATGACGTCAGATTTGTAAAGTACGAGACGTTAAGTGCTTCAGTAACACAGGAAAGAACTCAAACAGCGAGGGTTAGGCAACAAACAAAACAGGACGAGGACGGAAACCAGGAAAACGTGCGGGCAGTTTGATCTAGACCTCCAAAATCTCAACTAGATAATGTTTGATGCTACAATCTATAACTGTTGGGATTCAGTTCTGACAGAAAAACAAAATAGAAGATCTTGAACTGAAAACTGATGAATATGGCCATAGGAATATAAAGGATGATCGACCCAAAGAATTCTAATTAGTCCAATGTAAAGTAATTATCCATGTGTCCAATTGAATCGTATAAAATTAGCGCAAAACATGAACCATGTGAAGTGAAGAAAGCTGACTATGATGACATGTGAAGTGAAGAAAGCTGACTATGATGACATGTGAAGTGAAGAAAGATGACTATGATGACATGTGAAGTGAAGAAAGATGACTATGATGACATGTGAAGTGAAGAAAGATGACTATGATGACATGTGAAGTGAAGAAAGATGACTATGATGACATGTGAAGTGAAGAAAGATGCCTGTGATGACATGTGAAGTGAAGAAAGCTGACTATGATGACATGTGAAGTGAAGAAAGATGACTATGATGACATGTGAAGTGAAGAAAGCTGACTATGATGACATGTGAAGTGAAGAAAGCTGACTATGATGACATGTGAAATGAAGAAAGCTGACTATGATGACATGTGAAGTGAAGAAAGATGACTATGATGACATGTGAAGTGAAGAAAGATGACTATGATGACATGTGAAGTGAAGAAAGATGACTATGATGACATGTGAAGTGAAGAAAGATGACTATGATGACATGTGAAATGAAGAAAGTTGACTATGATGACATGTGAAGTGAAGAAAGATGACTATGATGACATGTGAAGTGAAGAAAGATGACTATGATGACATGTGAAGTGAAGAAAGCTGACTATGATGACATGTGAAGAGAAGAAAGATGACTATGATGACATGTGAAGTGAAGAAAGATGACTATGATGACATGTGAAGTGAAGAAAGCTGACTATGATGACATGTGAAGTGAAGAAAGATGACTATGATGACATGTGAAGTGAAGAAAGATGACTATGATGACATGTGAAGTGAAGAAAGATGACTATGATGACATGTGAAGTGAAGAAAGATGACTATGATGACATGTGAAGTGAAGAAAGCTGACTATGATGACATGTGAAGTGAAGAAAGATGACTATGATGACATGTGAAGTGAAGAAAGATGACTATGATGACATGTGAAGTGAAGAAAGCTGACTATGATGACATGTGAAGTGAAGAAAGATGACTATGAAGACATGTGAAGTGATGAAAACTGAATATGATGACATGTGAAGTGAAAAAAGATGACTATGATGACATGTGATGAGAAGAAAGATGACTATGAAGACATGTGAAGTGACGAAAGATGACTATGATGACATGTGAAATGAAGAAAGCTGACTATGATGACATGTGAAGTGAAGAAAGCTGACTATGATGACATGTGAAGTGAAGAAAGATGACTATGAAGACATGTGAAGTGAAGAAAACTGACTATGATGACATGTGAAGTGAAGAAAGATGACTATGATGACATGTGAACATGTGAAATGAAGAAAGATGACTATGATGACATGTGAAGTGAAGAAAGCTGACTATGATGACATGTGAAGTGAAGAAAGATGACTATGATGACATGTGAAGTGAAGAAAGATGACTATGATGACATGTGAAGTGAAGAAAGATGACTATGATGACATGTGAAGTGAAGAAAGATGACTATGATGACATGTGAAGTGAAGAAAGCTGACTATGATGACATGTGAAGTGAAGAAAGATGACTATGATGACATATGAAATGAAGAAAGATGACTATGATGACATGTGAAGTGAAGAAAGCTGACTATGATGACATGTGAAGTGAAGAAAGATGACTATGAAGACATGTGAAGTGAAGAAAACTGAATATGATGACATGTGAAGTGAAGAAAGATGACTATGATGACATGTGAAGTGAATAAAGCTGACTATGATGACATGTGAAGTGAAGAAAGCTGACTATGATGACATGTGAAGTGAAGAAAGATGACTATGATGACATGTGAAGTGAAGAAAGATGACTATGATGACATGTGAAGTGAAGAAAGATGACTATGATGACATGTGAAATGAAGAAAGCTGACTATGATGACATGTGAAGTGAAGAAAGCTGACTATGATGACATGTGAAGTGAAGAAAGATGACTATGAAGACATGTGAAGTGAAGAAAACTGAATATGATGACATGTGATGAAAAAAGACATGTGAAGTGAAGAAAAAGCTGACTATGATGATGTGACATGATGACATGTGAAGATGAAAAGTGACTATGATGACATGTGAAGTGAAGAAAGATGACTATGATGACATGTGAAGTGAAGAAAGATGACTATGATGACATGTGAAAGTGAAGAAAGATGATATGATGACATGTGAAGTGAAGAAAGATGACTATGATGACATGTGAAGTGAAGAAAGATGACTATGATGACATGTGAAGTGAAGAAAGATGACTGATGACATGTGAAGTGAAGAAAGATGACTATGATGACATGTGAAGTGAAGAAAGATGACTATGATGACATGTGAAGTGAAGAAAGATGACTATGATGACATGTGAAGTGAAGAAAGATGACTATGATGACATGTGAAGTGAAGAAAGATGACTATGATGACATGTGAAGTGAAGAAAACTTAATATGATGACAGGTGAAGTGAAAAAAGATGACTATGAAGACATGTGAAGTGAAGAAAGATGACTATGATGACATGTGAAATGAAGAATGATGACTATGATGACATGTGAAGTGAAGAAAGATGACTATGATGACATGTGAAGTGAAGACATGTGAAGTGAAGAAAAAGATGACTATGATGACATGTGAAGTGAAGAAAGATGACTATGATGACATGTGAAGTGAAGAAAGATGACTATGATGACATGTGAAGTGAAGAAAGAAGCTGACTATGATGACTATGACTATGATGACATGTGAAGTGAAGAAAGATGACTATGATGACATGTGAAGTGAAGAAAAGATGACTATGATGACATGTGAAGTGAAAAAAGATGACTATGATGACATGTGAAGTGAAGAAAGATGACTATGATGACATGTGAAGTGAAGAAAGATGACTATGATGACATGTGAAGTGAAGAAAGATGACTATGATGACATGTGAAGTGAAGAAAGATGACTATGATGACATGTGAAATGAAGAAAGCTGACTATGATGACATGTGAAGTGAAGAAAGCTGACTATGATGACATGTGAATGAAGACATGTGAAGTGAAGAAAGATGACTATGATGACTATGACATGTGAAGTGAAGAAAAAGATGACTATGATGACATGTGAAATGAAGAAAGATGACATGTGACATGTGAAGAAGAAAGATGACTATGATGACATGTGAAGTGAAGAAAGCTATGACTATGATGACATGTGAAGTGAAGAAGAAAGATGACTATGATGACATGTGAAGTGAAGAAAGATGACTATGATGACATGTGAAGTGAAGAAAGATGACTATGATGACATGTGAAGTGAAGAAAGATGACTATGATGACATGTGAAATGAAGAAAGATGACTATGATGACATGTGAAGTGAAGAAAGCTGACTATGATGACATGTGATGAGAAGAAAGATGACTATGAAGACATGTGAAGTGACGAAAACTGAATATGATGACATGTGAAGTGAAAAAAGATGACTATGATGACATGTGAAGTGAAGAAAGATGACTATGATGACATGTGAAGTGAAGAAAACTTAATATGATGACAGGTGAAGTGAAAAAAGATGACTATGATGACATGTGAAGTGAAGTAAGCTGACTATGATGACATGTGAAGTGAGGAAAGCTGACTATGATGACGTGAAGTGAAGAAAGCTGACTATGATGACATGTGAAGTGAAGAAAACTGACTATTCATCATATCTTGTTGATAACCACAACCAGTACGGTAAAAAGTGGGTCAAACATCCTTGGACACTGAGATAGCATAGGATCTCTAACACATTCTCCTCATATTTATGTGCAAGAAAGTTATAACACGCTTTTCCAAATTTATCACTTACATTGGCATATTCACAATAACTGACCAATTGTTATAATAAACTATATTCGTACAATCAAATATGTGTTGTCAGATTTGTTTGCAGTTCAATATACCATACAATGTATTGCGTAATCATATACGTCATGTACAGGTAAGTGAATATATCTATAGGATAAATACAATTTCCTTACCAATAGATTTATCACTGTCGATACCAAGATTGAATCAAGCTTGTGAATTTGTGCCAAATATGATCGAAATTATGGTATGCACATGTATACATATTTTTGTACCTCAGTCTGTGGATGTAAAAAAATGTAATTTTGCCTGGTTGTTTTAGAAAGGCACCTTATGACGTATTCGTCAAAATCCAATATACGACTATCTGCCACTACGGTGCACTTATCAATTTGAAAATTATCCATTCAGTACTTCTCTAGAGAGATCAATAGCAAACTATGACATTTAAAAACCAAGATGGCCGCCTGCCAGCAGACTGTGCACGACTAGAGAATAAGGAGAACCTTCAAATTGAAAATGAGAAAGATCCATCCGGTACTTCACAAGAAATAACGAAAACAAACTTTCATTGACAAGATTCAAGATGGCCGCCTGTCGGTAGTATTGTTTTCCCGATCGGTCTTAAAATTGGTTATGAACAACTTCAGACCAAGACATTCCTGCATAAGACATTGCAGAATGAGGAGTCAAACAGTGCTCTACAAATAATTATCACAACAATTATTTGAGGACGATCAAAAGTGATTTATTAGTCCACCATGATCAGATGGCTAAAACTAAATGCCAAGCTTCAATTTATTAAAGATGGCAAGATTTTAGTAGTCCGACGACCTACAGGCAATGATATTGATAGATAAATGGCGTATCACTAAAAACTAACTATGCTTTATAAACCACTACCTGACACGTGTTTACTTTGTTACCTCGATAAATAGCAAATGCTTGCCTGCTTAAATAATATAAAATGAATACTACTTGTACCGTGACATCGATACTACATACACAATATGATGAAATTATTTAACATATTTCAGAGGATATCCTTCCAATACCACGATAGCTTACAGGCTACATCGTTACCTTGACCTACCTAAATACACACTGTTGAAATACACGCGGGTCCTTACAGAGCGCGGCACAGTCTTCACACGATCTACACAAAATTAACAAAATGGAGAGGGCAATGGTTGGAGATATATGTAAGGTCGCGGCCACAACTTTTGCAGGCCTGTTTGCTGGCAGTGCCTTGGGCAGTAATTTCACGACAATGCCAGCTTTGATGAAGATTGAAGATACATCGGCATTACGGGTGGGGTGGAAGCACCATTTCCTCCTCGGAGCAACTTATATGGTGAGTTCACACATACATAAATCGAGGCGTGTGTATATATATAGACAGTTTGCCTCGGGGAATTTATCTGCTTTTCAGCATGAGTGGTACTTTGTAGACGAACATAGTATGCAGTTGCCTCCCTTCTTTCATTACATTTTAACAAATCAATATAACGCATAAATTTTTCTTATTTTACACTTGATAAAAGAATGCACTGCTTGGTTTTGAGAATATATTATTTTTGCACAATCTCTGAGTCGAAGTATTGATGTGATGAAAACCCGATTGCACTTTTACCAATCGTTTGGCTGTTAAGAGACCACCAGGATTGCTTAGAGGGGTTGAGCTAGTATGGTAGTCGAAAGACGCATGAGTGCGGCATACGTCTTTGGTATTTTATTGGTAATCGGAGTTCATTTTCTCGATCGAACATGAAAAAGTACGAGGTCGCCTACACGACAACATGGATTTCCCTTGGCATCCAGTTTTATCTGACACTTCGTGTGTTTCCATTCAGGCTAAAAAATAATTTGCTTATCGAATATTACACATACGAAAATAGTTCCGTTATCTTTTGTAGGGTAGATTTTTCGGACAGGTCAAAGGTTAGAGGTCGCTGTTTTATCGGTGATACCCACCTTGTGACTTGTTATAAGATGATATTTATACAGTTTGGCGAAGGACAGCATTGATAGGAACATCACACCCAACTGAAATGACAGTTATTAATTAGCTATTGTTTTTTTTCAGTTGTGATGGACATGATGCTAAAATAATATTCGCACTTTTGCCTTATTAAAACAAAGTACTATACATATTTGCTATATATGTGGTGTAAATCAGTTTTGATTCTTTGGTCTGTCTTCTGTTTCATTAGACTATTTAACTGGTGTTATGTTCTAGTCACAGGATTGACTCCTTGATTATTACTCGTCATCTGTTTTACCCCGATTACTCAAGAGTTAATTGGCTCTTTGATTAAAGCCTTCTGTTATACTAATGAATTACTTACTCGGACATATAGTTTACTCTTTCACGTAATCTTTTATTTGACTCGGTGATTACTCGATACTATGTTTGAGTCTTTGATAACTAAGCCTTATACTTTACTCTTTCATTGATCAGTCTTGTGTTTGATTTATCAGTTACGTATACGCCTCTTACTTCGTCTGAGTTTGACGTCTGAATCATTTAGCTTTGTGTTTGGCACCTCAATTGAATAACATTTTAATTACTCAGACTTATATTTGACTCTTTAGTTCCACAGTCCCTCATTTTTAACCTTTCCAGTATCTTATGGTATATATTGATTTCACAGTCGCAAATTTAATTCAGATTGCTCAGTACCATATTCGAATATAGATTTACTTCATGTGGTGTTTGACAATGTATTTATCTTGCCTTGCAGTATCCTGAATAGAGATCTGGTTTTACTTTTTTCATTATCAAATTACTGTCATATCTAGTATCAAGTTTGATTTTCTGGATGATGCTTCAATTATTTTTCTATTAAGTAATTACAAAGTTTTTTATTTGTTAGTATTCAATGATTTAAATATATCAACTATATGTTTCTTTCATATGAAGCCCTGCCTGGCATTGGGTGGTATGGTATCGGGAGGCGTGGCGTGTTACCTTGACAACACAGACTCTAAGTATTACTGGTTGGCTGGTGCTGGATGTCTCGGTATCATTTTGCCATACACAAAAGTAGTTATGCTTTCTGATATCTACAAACTACTCAAAGATGACGTGATAGATGTGAGAGGTAATTGTTACTGATAACTTGATACTGATAAATGTTTGAACAATTAAATAGCAATAAACAAGGTAAACGACAACATTTATTTACTAAAGTATTAAAATCAGATTCATTCGTTATCTAAATCCAAAATTCATCCCACGGTTATGATTGTGTTACGTTCATTGTATACCATGGTGTTTATAAAATCATCAGGTCTTATTCTGTTATCAAGACTCTCCGTATAAGTCTGCCTTTCGTTAAGGTTTCGTCCTTGATATTTGACGTGTCGATATTCTCTTGTATTTGTAGGTGTAGACTGGGTTCGTGCAAATATCAATACCTGGGACAAGCGCCACTTCGTACGTAGCATGCTGTCATCTGTTGGTTTTGGTATCTTCCTGTATGCCCTTTACAACAGGAAGTAAACTATGCGTGATGTTGACTGCGTGATGACAACATAGAATCTTCAGCTTTTTGTTTGTTTGATATTTTTCTCATTATCATTAAAATGCTTCTTGAGCTAGATACATATTATAAATAACGTTTTGTTAAGGAAGGAATGAACCGATAGCTTGTTTCTGTTGTAATAAGTTTGTATACAAGAACAAATATCATAAACAATATCATGAGCATTTGCGTTTCTAAAATTGATGCATTCAAAGGTTAGAAATAATGATAAATCAGCCATGTAATTTATTTTATGATTTCTGACATTGATTTTTATTATCTTGTTTTTGTATGAACATAGATATTAACATTTTGTGTTTTGTCGAATTTTATTTTATTTTATTTTTTTTTTTTTTCGTGGCGAAAATGAAATTTGAGAGACATCGGCGGGTTAAGCTTTCTATTGTGTGTGTTGAATCTTCGATATTGGATGTTAAACGTGGATACGTCATAAATACCAATTAAATCATCAGATATTTGTCACAATTAGGTAATAATGTATACAAAGTGAATAGTTGTATTGTGCCTTACGTAGTTTAGGTTCCACTGCATTTAACATTGTGCCTCAAGTAACATTTTGGTATGGTGGCAACATCGTGTCACTGACGGCACAGGTCCACTTATCCCAAATCATTAGCAAAAGTGTTTCCGTTAATAAATATACAAGTACATTTGTGTTTTGTGCTGTAAATTTTCGAACACTTTAACATTTACATTTCTACGTTATCTTTTCTGCTTTGCATTGTTTGACTTGCTAGAAAGAATGTTATCAATAAATATTTCATATACAAAATACTTGTCTCTTTACTTGTGTTTGTCTTACTAGTTTCACGTTTGCTTGTTTAGTTTCTAATCATACGAGAAAGATAGAAATAGAAGTGTAAAAAATACATGTATAAATGAAGTAAAATTAACGAAAAAGAGTGGAAGGAGAATCGCGAAAAGATGACAACGATGATGTCCTGGTGTGTCTATAATTCTTAGTCTCCCTCGTGGCCTTTCTTCAGCTCTAACTGCAGACAGCCCTACCGAGACGAAGGCTACCCACTCCGACACGAAACAGAGAGGAAGACGTTCCTATTCAATACTTAATCATCTGAAAGCTTAAAGTCCCTCATTTTGTTTTATAATATTATTCATATCTTCAGTGACAATACTTGAAAGAAATTGAGAAATACGAGAACTCACAAGGCTACAATCGATCACGTTAATATATACTACTATCATTTCTGGTATTCCGAGACACATGTAGGTTAGAAATGTACGACATATGTATGTTAAATATATATGTGATTAATATAGAACGAAATTATTAGGATATGATTATTTAAAACATGCTGATTTGCCATTTTGCGATAAAAATGGGCCGTGAAGAACAAATAGGGGGAAATAAGGAAAACTGATATCAAGTAAAATAAAATACAAAAACAAAAACAAGGCAAATGAAAAACCGTAAAAAGATGTATATTTCAACAAATGTTTTGAAAGTTCGGTATAGAAAAAAAAGATGCCAATCTCCTAACAGCATACATACAAATGATTCGTATAAAGCCATGTTCGCTGAATTTTGAACAACTAAAAGACATAATCAGAAAGCAAACAATTCGAGGTAGACCGGTTATAGACCCTACAGATCGAGTTCCTGTATAAATATAAACACATGGTGCGGGTGGACTGACCTCGACCTTTTGTAGCTTATTCTACAGGCATGTAAACACACTCTACAGCGACAAAATGGAGAAGGGCATGGTAGGGGATATCTGCGCTGTGACGTCCACAGTCTTTGCCGGCATGTTTGCAGGTGGTGCTCTTGGTAGTAATGTCTTCACCATGCCGGCTTTGATGAAGATTAAGGATACATCGGCGATGCGAACTGGCTGGAAACACCACTTTCTTGACGGATCTAGATATATGGTAAAGTAGTTGTCACAACAGTACAGTTGACATTTAACATTAGTTTCCTTCACATATGGCATTGTTGAAACGATGACTGTTAAGACGAGTTCCATAAACTGCAAATTTTCATGAAATGAAAAAGGAATTAAGGCCCTTTTCACATAATTCTTCTCTCTGGTTGTATGTAAATAGAAAGGACATAATTACCATGCAGTTTCAGGGCCTTTTATGTCAAGATATAAAACAACATAAACATTCAGTTCGCCGGCCTATAACCTACCATGTTGAAGCTGACTATAGTTTAAACTTTTCTGATACCATTGCAACACAATAAACAATGAACATGTATTCATTACGACCATTTAAAATAAAATTCAGTATTGAGCAAACGTTTGCCTTTAAATGTGTGTGGTTTTTTTTCAAACGGAGAGTCGTTAGTGGAGACACAATCAAAACGTGAAATCCAAGCCAAGTGTGTGACATGACGCCTGAAACATTACACGAGAGTCGTCTATACATTACCATGTATACCTACATGCGTGAGACCCTAGTATCATCGACATATAATGATCTTGGGGTTTCTAAAGATAATACAACCTATTACAAAGGTCACTATAGGTACTCCAGATGACAGTCTATTACAAAGGTCACTATACATGTTCCAGATTGCAGTCTACTACAACAGTCAATGTATATTTTTCATAGTATATGTTTCGATTTTTTCAGTTATGCTTTACTCTCATTTTAAGTGTAAATATGAAAGTGTTTTTAAGGTAGCATATTCTTGGCAGTGCTGCATTATTAGAAACCGTATTTATTTGTAAAACATGCGACAAATAGTTCCCGAATACCCTAGTTAATGTGTACGGTACACGTCAAGATTTGAAAAACAGTTTATATTTTGTATCTTTATAAATTTTCTTAATTCCTGTTTATAGTTACTCCAAAATATATTTATCTAAATTATCAAAAAGGATATATCATCTAATTTACACTTTCCCAAACAGCATTGCACAGGAAATGTATTTTGTGATGTGACTTAATAGCAAAGCGTTATTTCCTATATCATATCTGGTGTGTTTGATTCGCAGCTAAATCCGATCTCAGTATAGAATAACAAAAATAATATAAGCTGCGTTTCTTTATTGATAATTTATATCAGATTTGTTCAATTGCTCTTGCAGCCAAGACTAGCATTGGCCAGTATAGTAGCCGGAAGTATAGCTTGTTACCTTGACGACACGGATAACAAATATTATTGGCTGGCCGGAGCAGGAACCATGTTTTCCCTAATTCCATATACGATGTTTGTAATTATTCCTGACGTGAATATACTTCTCAAAGATGACGTCATAGAACAGAGAGGTAAATAAAACACTATATTTAATTCAGAGTGAGTATGTGGGTATGTAAATACGGTTCAGACCAGAACTTTCTTGTGTTTTGAACGTAAATTCTTTCACTTCAGAATTTCATTCTGTTCAGTATTAACAACATCAATGCAAGACCGAGTGTCCATACATTAAGAAAAATTAGGAAGGACAAAAACAATAGATGATGCAAATGATCTGTAATAATTCAAAAATGCAAAAATTTACCACTCCTTTTTATTGTAGGTATCGTTACACACATATAAAAACTTGTACAATGTTAACAACGGGAAAAGTTTGATAAAAAAATCAAAATAAAATGTTTATGATAATTATTGAAAGGGACGTCATGTCTGCTTAGGGAAAGACTCAACATATCATTGTCTAGTTATTTTTTCATTATGGAGTCATAGCGCCGATAACCGGGAATGGATGAACAGTTATGTTTAGAAAGATAGAAGGGAAAGAAAACAAAGCTATCACATCTATTTGAAATAGAGTAAAGATAGACAGGGAAAATTTGGAATGATCTCTAAACATTTTGGCTATTTTAGGAGTGAACCAGTTTAAAAACTTTTACATCTTCGTTGTGGGAAATGATGTTAGTATAGTAGTTATGTTTTGTATCACGTGGTAGCAGAAGAGTAAAAACTCTATTGTCAGCTTCCCTCGTATATCTGTCCTCTGTTTGTCACTTTAAAAGTTGTCTTTTTTTAACCGATAAGATTGGTGGTCATGATCATTAAAAAATTAACGCAATACGATACAGTTTTCTTAGTTTCGGTGTCATACCTGATATATTAGAGTGATGTGTAAATATCATAAACACATGAACTACATGTATAACAAGAAACACTATGAACGTGATCTTAAGAAATTCAAACTTTCAAGAAAATATATTTAAACCGATAAAATATTATTTTATTTCCTAATAATTTGTCTATTTTTTTATTTATTTTTTTTTATGAATGTTGTAAAAACATTTTTCTTGTTGCAAAGTATAAGTTAAATAACTTTTTTTTTCTTTTTAAAGGCGAAGAATGGGTACGAACCAATGTTGATAAGTGGGGTAAACGGCACTTAGTGCGCAGCGCTGTGTCCTCAGCTGCCTTCGGGACCTATCTGTTTGCCCTACTAAGAAGAAAATCTTATTTTTAGTATCATAAACGCGATTAAAAAATAGCAAATATAGGTATCGTTGATTTTTTTTATTGAAATGTACTTGAAGCAAACTCAACCGATGGGAAAGTTACGAATCAGCTGGTTAACAAAGAAGAAGAAAAAAAGAAAGAAATGCACACCCTCAAATACACATCCTCAAATACACACCCTCAATTACACATCCTCAAATACACACCTTCACATACATGTTCACACCCTTAAACACACAAAGCCACCCTCACATACACACATTTACATACGAAACAAGACATACACCTTCTCACATACATACCCTCATATATACATCCTCACATACAAACCTTACATACACACTCGCACATACACATCCTTACATACCACACTCTCACATACACATCCTTACATACACACTCACACGTACACACTCACACACTCACACATACACATCCTTACATACACACTCACACATACACATCCTCACATACACATCCTTACATACACACTCGCACATACACATCCTTACATACACACTCACACATACACATCCTTACATACACACTCACACATACACATCTTTACATACACACTCACACATACACATCCTTACATATACACTCACACATACACATCCTTACATATACACTCACACGTACATACTTACAAATACACATCCTTACATACACACTCACACATACACATCCATACATACACACTCACACATACACATCCTTACATACACACTCACACATATTCATCCTTACATACACACTCACACATACACATCCTTACATACACACTCACACATACACATCCTTACATACACACTCACACATACACATCCTTACATACACACTCACACATACACATCCTTACATACACACTTACAAATACACATCCTTACATACACACTCACACATACACATCCTTACATATACACTCACACGTACACACTCACACGTACACACTCACACGTACACACATACACATCCTTACATACACACTCACACATACACATCCTTACATACACACTCACACATACACATCCTTACATACACACTCACACATACACATCCTTACATATACACTTACAAATACACATCCTTACATACACACTCACACATACACATCCTTACATATACACTCACACGTACACACTCACACGTACACACTCACATATACACATCCTTACATATACAGTCACACGTACACATCCTTACATACATGCTTTCACATATACACTCACACGTACACATCCTTACATACACACTCACACACATCCTTACATACACATCCTTACATATACATCCTCACATACACATCCTTACATACACATCCTTACATACACATTCTTACATATACATCCTCACATACACATCCTTATATACATACTCACACATCCACATCCTCACATACATACTCTCACATGCACATCCTTACTTATAAATTCTCACATACACTTCCTTACATATATATCTTTACATATACATCCTTACATATAAATTCTCACATACACTTCCTTACATACATAGCTTTACATATACATCATTGCATACACATCTTTACATACACATCCTTACATACACATCTTTACATACACATCCTTACATACTAATCCTCACATACACATCCTTACATATATATCTTTACATATACATCCTTACATATAAATCCTCACATACACTTCCTTACATACATAGCTTTACATATACATCATTGCATACACATCTTTACATACACATCCTTACATACACATCTTTACATACACATCCTTACATACTAATCCTCACATACACATCCTTACATACACATCTTTCCCTACACCTTCTTACAGATACCTCCTTGCATACACATCCTTACATACACACAGCACCATGTAACATGTTACAATATAATTAAAATTGATGAAGTGTTTGTATTAATATATATATACTTATGTACTATACGTATTATGATATATCCATAAACAGCCCTATATGTGTACTTGTTCAGGTTTCTTTGAAATATAATTTATCAAACACATGTTTAAGACTGCTTGTACACTTTAAGTGGTTTATTTTTGCTTTTGAATTAAAAAAAACCCATTATGTAATAAAAAAAAACCTGAAGCTTGTTGGAAACGTGATTGCTTATGACATAGTATATAAAGTTACTGTGAATGTCACCTTCCTGAAATATGACTAGACTGAAGTCGATTGATAATATCATTATATTCCATACGAAATATCTGCACAAAGCTTGATCAAGCACTTGCGATACTGTAGGCTTAAAGAACTCAAAAGATTCAGATCACGCACACTTGTTTACTGATAAATGACGTAGGACTTGACAGAAATAAATATTGCTCTCTGAAATGTCAACAAAATCCACACGTATATTAAGTCACGATGAAAAGAAGGTACAAGTAAGAAACATGATGTGTTTATGAAACACTATGCCCCCGGTTGCAACAAAATTCTGAAGTGGAATATTAAAACTTGTTTCGTTACAAGGAACACGCATGCTAAATCTGAAAGACTTACCTCTTACGGTGCTATAGGTATGGCCAATGTCAATTGTTTTTCAAACGTAGGTCAAAGGTCACGGTCAAGGTCATAGTCAAACATTTTGGTAACACCGGAAAGGTCACATTACAAGGAATACACATGCCAAATACGACAGCCCTACCTCTTATGGTACAATAGTTCTGGGCAAGGTTAAAGTTGACAACAGACAGACAAACAAACAGAGACAAACAGGCAGCACAAAAATGATATGCACCCGATCTTTCGATCCGGGGACATAAAGCAACGTACATGTGTTTCAACATCTCAAAATTCAGAAAGCGTCTGAATGGAGCATGACTCCTTAACGTTGTACTTCACGTAAGGTTCACGAATGCATTAAGGCATTATAAAGTTGATCGGTATTTTACAATAGCATGCACGTGCATACATGTATATGTAACATCATAATATGAAGTGTCCTAACGATTTTTAGCCTTTCCGCAGGTTATTAGTAGCATGTTCATAGCGCATAGGAGATTTTTTTTTTTTAAATTTATACACTTAATTAAAACAACAGCCTTCTCATTGGAAAAGTGTAATAGGAAGGGTTTCATAATATGACCCTCTCACCAGGGAACAAATAGTTTTCAGCTGAAGGTTGACACGCGAACTATCGAAAGAGTTCAAGCTGTGAAAAACTTCGGTTATACGTCAATAAAAGTCACTGAACATGAAGCAGTAGGTAAACAGTATTATAAAATCCTGTTATAACAAAACCAGAAATAGTGAACATATTTGACAGTCAATCACCACGGATACCTACCAGGTCTTGGTGTACTCACTACTCGATTGAATTGTCTGGTTAACCGTACTCGAATGAGAGAACATATTCCACGTCCAGTCCATCGCGATAATTGCAACTTGCAACCGAGACATATTTTGCTTCAATATATAGTTGACCAATATATATGTATGGAATGATTAAATATAATACATACACTGTATATGTAGATATAAATATATTTGAGAGAGAGAGAGAGAGAGAGAGAGAGAGAGAGAGAGAGAGAGAGAGAGAGAGAGAGAGAGAGAGAGAGAGAGAGAGACACACACACACACAAACGACACCACTTACACACAATTTTCGTTCTTATCTAAAGTTGATCACTTATTGTGTGTATATGATTTGAATATAATTTATGTAATGTTAAACACAGTTTGCAAATAATATAAATAAGCTACATAAATTACATATTACCATTATTATAATGTCGTTCATTGTATCAAAGAAAACACCGCTCTAAAAACAAACACCAGAAACATTGCAATTTATTATTTAAAAAACTGTATAGAAGACATGCTTTAGTAAAGAGAACATTTCAATTTAAGATTAAGATATACTAGTGACATTAAAACTTGGCATGCAGGTGAAATGGCGCTCTGAGTAAAAGTTACAAATGTTGAGATCAATCGCTGATACGCAGAAAACTGGACATCTCGGAACATTTTGATAGGTCATAAAATACCGGCATCACGTAACGAATATGTCTGCACACAGACCGGCGGTATTTGTAGCAAGTACCATCCATGACTTGGCCCATGTCGTCGCCCGTCTGTTGCCACAGGTGGAGGTAAATAACCTCAATATTCAACATGAAGGTAGGAATCTATATTGATTGAATAGGAGTGCTGGGACATGCAAAAAAGCTTTCAATTGTTGTTATGGGAAGATGTGTACCCCGTAAATATTGCCCGACATATTAAAGTTATTAATCGAAACATTGTTTCTGCATGTTGCGTGATTTTTGTTGAACACGACGGTGGTTCCATTGAAGTGATCTGTACAGGTACCTACGGAACAACTTTCTTACCGCTATGCGTCTTAGCGGAGTTTTTTTTCTTTAATAGTTTGATTACCTCCCCTTAATAGTAAATTTGGATATTCTGTAAGTGTACTATTACGGTATTTAAAAACATGTTACCAAAAACACAATTAATCATTAGAAATGTATCGAACCATACACGAGTTCGAATTTTAAAAAGCTATCATGTTCAGAAAATGCGAGTCGTTAAAATGATTGGTATAAGTAATTTGAAATTTTCAGTTACAGGTATGTAGGCCGGTTAGCTCAGTCGGTTAGAGCGTCGTGCTAATAACGCGAATGTCGTGGGTTCGACCCCCACACTGGCCATGATAATTTTTGTTTTTTTTCCCACCTTGTATATATATATAAACGAGAATACGTGAATGATTAGAGCAATGCATACTATTTTAGTGAATTTGTTTATATTTGCACATTAATCTATTGTTCATCAATTTCAGAAATATTTTTCTTGTAAAATAAATAAAAATTAAATTAATAAACACAGAAATATCCTAGTATTAGGGACCATGTTTATAGTGTACACGTGTTGTTTTGCTTTTGTTTTTTAAGCATTCAATATTCCTACTCATTTACTCATAAGTGGTGGCAGCACACACAAAATATTGCCCATTCGGAAAATATACACCTGGTATATGTTGAAAGAAACACACACACCCACACACACAACCGACAAAAAAGAGACCAGGAGCTGTGAAACAACTTTTACCCACACACCAAACATAACAAAATGGTTATGTATGATAACAACAATCGTGTGCCATTATTTTATTTTTTTTTATTTAATGACAGATAACCTGTCTGATGAAGATTGGGCTGACCTGAGAGAAAATGCAGAGGTTTTATTTGCTGATGTTCCTATTATCAAATCAGCGTTGTTCACCTGTTCCAGACTCAAATGGGCCCACAGCACGTGGGCGGGTATGTTACGTTAGACCATCGGACCTCTCCACTTTCCATCTAACTTGATTACCTCTACATTGGTACTCTGATAGTATATTCATCAGAGTTACGACCCTTTATTGTGCCAACTACACACGTTTTGTTGTTAATTTCTATGTATTTATATTCTTTGCAAACACCTGTCTGAAACATGACTTTCTCGTCTTTTTTCGCCAAACTATTAATATCTTCCATGATGTATGTAGACTGTAATAGCAGAAAAGACTTCACATTCTGTTACTTTGTATGTGTGGGATAGGGGCGCCTAATGTAGTAGAAATTCCCACAGTATGCTAATCCACTTTCTTTACCTGCTTACGGACGCGAAAGTGTCTTAGATAATTCTGCAACTATCATAGCAACCAGACCAACATCATGAATTTGTTTCTATTTTTCAAGAGCAAAATATTTTTATTTTTTTAATTTCTTTGTGATTTTATAGGCGTTGAACCTCTCGTTAAAGCCGTCGATCCACAGAAGGTAACATTTGTAAGACTTAAGGTGTTTTAGAAATAAAAGAAGGTATTAATATAATTTCCTTCATATATCATTAATGAATCCAGATTTTAAAAAATGTCTGCACAAAATAGATAATCTAGTTTTATGGCCTTCATCAGCTATAACAATTCCACATGATTCACAAAAATACAATCTTATTGAGATTAGATGAATCCAAATATTCCATATACAAGAAAGAGTTCCGATTCTGCTGCAGCCTCCAGATGCGATTGTCACGAGAACCGGAAGTGCTTTTGGAAATTTAATGGCGGAATATGTCCTTGGTCATATCATAGCAACTGAAAGGAAATTTTTACTGATGGCTGATGATCAGAAAGCTAAAAAATGGAATCCGTGAGTGAAATCATACTTCAAGAACGTTTCACAAAATTGAATTCAAGTTCACATTGTGATTACATCATTTTTAAAAAATGATTTCTACTGTTTCATGTTATTGAGTCAGATCAGTATTATTTAGATAAAATTGTTGATGTTTTTTGAAGCGTTTACTATTTGACTTCCTTATTCTGCATGTATAAGTGATCAAACACGCGAGAAAATAACAAAAAATAAAAAACAAACAACAAACCCAAACTATTGAATGAAAACAGATATGAGAAAAATCAAAGCAAGACACCTACTGGACCAGCAATATACATGACTAAGTATTTCCTTATTGGTCTTAATAAAGTATTTCTATTTCAGACATGTATATAAACAAGATATTCGGTTGTTGTCGCAGTTAAGACTTGGTATACTTGGAGCAGGACAGATCGGTACACAAAGTAAGTATACAATTCTGTATACACGTATGTGTAAATAAAGTTAAACTTATCTGAATATCTGATATCCTAGGAGGATCTTGGCGCTCACCACTTGTGATCTTTATTAGTTCTATGTAGCTTGGATTATTTCCTGACTAGTAATTGTACTGACAATAGAAATGCAGGTATGTCATCATATACACTGTAACACCATTAATTTAAGAATGATATATCAAGTACTTATCATGTAATAATGATACCTTAATAAGGCCTACTTTCTGCCAAATAACGAAAATGAACTTGGTTTATCAAAATCTAAGATGGCCACCTGTCGGCCATTTTATTTGTTACACAAACAAAGAAAGGCCAACATGGAATTTGAGAATAATTCTTCAAATGCTTTCTAAAAACAGCGATAAAAACTGTAAAAGTCTCCGATGGTAGCCTTTAAACTTGACATCAAGGGGGGATCAGTACATTATTTTTTTGAATGATTCATTCAGTTCTTAAAAAAGTTCACAAGAATCTTTAATTGTCAAAATCCATGATGGTCACCTGTAAAACCTTTTTATTTTGTTGCCAGTGCCTAATGGACAATTTACGTCTTAGAATACAAGACAACCTACCTAATAAAATACTTCTCAAGGGAAAAAAACATTGCTGTCTATTTCCAAGATGGTCTTCTCTCGGCCATTTTGATTTTCTTTTTAATCCCAAAATAGGCGATATGCAAATGAAGTTTGGGGACGATCGATCCAGTTATTTCAGGAAATAACAATAATATCAAACTTTCCGTAACAAGAATTGTTTACAGACAGATAGATTGACACCAGCCTAGATCAAGGGCGACATGAATAGCATGTCGTCGTAAGATGATGGACTGAAAACAGACTTACTTCCTCCTGTAGGAAACTTATTTGATACCGGAATTATCTCGGTAAAGGTATCGTTATATTGTTGGAGAAAACAGAGACCTACTTGTTTATTACTTCACATTAAAGACGTATATTCATTCACAGTACAAACAACTGGCTTGTTATCCGCTACTTTCTTATATTGTTTGCAAAAAATTACGTTTCTTAGTTGACTAATGCCGCTTAATGTTACGACTTACATTGTATTCATAGCTAGCCTAGCTGTCCATCTCTATTGACCGATCGCGGATCATACGTCTACAGAAGAGAATTAAGGCAGCTATCTCTGTAATGGATTAGACGAATCGCTCTGTATAAAACCCATTACACACAGAAAATATCGAATACAAATGACTTAATCTTTAGTTATTTTATTTCTTTGTGTCCAAAATAGATTTCGACTGACCGTGACGTGATCTGGTCCTGAAGGTTGAAATAATCGGATATACTGGTGTACATAGAGTATCCTGTAAAACCTCACTTGCCATGAATACCTTGGTGTACTACAAATACATTTTGGTGTATATTGTTGATGAAATATATCATAATTGGTACACGAGAGTATAACAGTAAAACAGGAAGGGCAACTGCTACATGATTGTTTGTAAAAGAATTATAGTATTTTGTTAACCGCAAACAATGTTATGTTATTTGTACCGGAATATAAATTAGAAGTTTTATGAAGTATTCGTGAAGCATTCTACTTAATACTTGATGAGGATAAAAATGCGTGCCTTGTGTACATGCATTAGGTAATTACATCGTAGATGATGAAATTGGATTTAGAAATTATATGTATAACATGTGTTCAATGGTAGGCCTTCATAATCAGACTCTCTTATTGAGACCCACGGAGACCTACGTTCGATATTCGTTGTTTGGCTCTAGTTTTACATGGCATGTTTCGTCGATAAGCAGAATACATTTCAAATATGCTGTGCACTGACCGATTCGAAACATCTGGTCATATGCTTTTTTGTAGAGCTCTCTAATGATTTCTTTTCGTCAGTTGTATGAGTCAGATAGTTCTTTTCTTAATGTTGGTATTCATTTTATTTAATTCTTTTTTTTTTAGTCGGCACATTATGTAAATCAGTTGGCATGGAAGTTTGGGGGTTGACAAGATCTTCAAAATCCGACAGTCATGGTCCTCTCGACGCTTATAGGTACATAAACGTAAAAGCAAAACGCAATAATTGTATAGATAATACGTTCTTCCAAATACTGTTTTGTGGATTTATTCAAATATTTTAAAGCTTGTTTAGATTTGAAATTAAACTGATATTTTTATAATCTACATATCATTTAAATTTAAATTTGATATTTTGCTATTTGTATCATTTCTTGACACTTGATCTGCCAACATTCAACATGTCAATTTTATATCTAACAACTCACTTCTGCACCAACATATATTAGTGTTTATATCACAGAATGAAGCTAATGGAATGTACATATTGCAGGACAACTGACCAGTTAGTGGACATTCTTCAGAACTGTGACTACATCTGTAACGTTTTACCTGCCACTCCAGAAACCAGAGGCCTCCTTTCTGGGGATACCTTATCTCATTGTAAGACAAAGGTGTGTAACTTTTCCGACCCCCTGGGCCTCCTGTCTCGTGGTACAAATGTATATCATTTCATTGTAAGACAAAGGTGTGTAACTTCCCCGACCCCGTGGGCCTCCTGTCTCGTGGTACAAATGTATATTATCTCGCTGTAAGACAAAGGTGTGTAACATTCCCGACCCCGGGACCTTCTGTCTCGAACGATTGGCCAACAGGACCTCCTGTCAGGGAATTTATTCATTATATTGGGAATAATATAACCCACAGAATTGTTAGGTGTTGATGAGCCGTATTCCTGCTAGAGAATTAGGTATTGATGAGCCGTATTCCTGCTAGAGAATCAGGTGTTGATGAGCCGTATTCCTGCTAGAGAATCAGGTGTTGATGAGCCGTATTCCTGCTAGAGAATCAGGTGTTGATGAGCCGTATTCCTGCTAGAGAATCAGGTGTTGATGAGCCGTATTCCTGCTAGAGAATTAGGTATTGATGAGCCGTATTCCTGCTAGAGAATTAGATATTGATGAGCCGTATTCCTGCTAGAGAATTAGGTGTCGATGAGCCGTATTCCTGCTAGAGAATTAGGTGTCGATGAGCCGTATTCCTGCTAGAGAATTAGGTGTCGATGAGCCGTATTCCTGCTAGAGAATTAGGTGTCGATGAGCCGTATTCCTGCTAGAGAATTAGGTGTTGATGAGCCGTATTCCTGCTAGAGAATTAGGTGTTGATGAGCCGTATTCCTGCTAGAGAATTAGGTGTTGATGAGCCGTATTCCTGCTAGAGAATTAGGTGTTGATGAGCCATATTCCTGATAGAGAATTAGGTGTTGATGAGCCGTATTCCTGCTAGAGAATTAGATATTGATGAGCCGTATTCCTGCTAGAGAATTAGGTGTTGATGAGCCGTATTCCTGCTAGAGAATTAGGTGTTGATGAGCCGTATTCCTGCTAGAGAATTAGGTGTTGATGAGCCGTATTCCTGCTAGAGAATTAGGTGTTGATGAGCCGTATTCCTGCTAGAGAATTAGGTGTTGATGAGCCGTATTCCTGCTAGAGAATTAGGTGTTGATGAGCCGTATTCCTGCTAGAGAATTAGGTGTTGATGAGCCGTATTCCTGCTAGAGAATTAGGTGTTGATGAGCCGTATTCCTGCTAGAGAATTAGGTGTTGATGAGCCGTATTCCTGCTAGAGAATTAGGTGTTGATGAGCCGTATTCCTGCTAGAGAATTAGGTGTTGATGAGCCGTATTCCTGCTAGAGAATTAGGTGTTGATGAGCCGTATTCCTGCTAGAGAATTAGGTGTTGATGAGCCGTATTCCTGCTAGAGAATTAGGTGTTGATGAGCCGTATTCCTGCTAGAGAATTAGGTGTTGATGAGCCGTATTCCTGCTAGAGAATTAGGTGTTGATGAGCCGTATTCCTGCTAGAGAATTAGGTGTTGATGAGCCGTATTCCTGCTAGAGAATTAGGTGTTGATGAGCCGTATTCCTGCTAGAGAATTAGGTGTTGATGAGCCGTATTCCTGCTGGAGAATTAGGTGTTGATGAGCCATATTCCTGCTAGAGAATTAGGTGTTGATGAGCCGTATTCCTGCTAGAGAATTAGGTGTTGATGAGCCGTATTCCTGCTAGAGAATTAGGTATTGATGAGCCATATTCCTGCTAGAGAATTAGGTGTTGATGAGCCGTATTCCTGCTAGAGAATTAGGTGTTGATGAGCCATATTCCTGCTAGAGAATTAGGTGTTGATGAGCCGTATTCCTGCTAGAGAATTAGGTGTTGATGAGCCATATTCCTGCTAGAGAATTAGATATTGATGAGCCGTATTCCTGCTAGAGAATTAGGTGTTGATGAGCCATATTCCTGCTAGAGAATTAGGTGTTGATGAGCCATATTCCTGCTAGAGAATTAGGTGTTGATGAGCCGTATTCCTGCTAGAGAATTAGGTGTTGATGAGCCGTATTCCTGCTAGAGAATTAGGTGTTGATGAGCCATATTCCTGCTAGAGAATTAGGTGTTGATGAGCCGTATTCCTGCTAGAGAATTAGGTGTTGATGAGCCATATTCCTGCTAGAGAATTAGGTGTTGATGAGCCATATTCCTGCTAGAGAATTAGATATTGATGAGCCGTATTCCTGCTAGAGAATTAGGTGTTGATGAGCCATATTCCTGCTAGAGAATTAGGTGTTGATGAGCCGTATTCCTGCTAGAGAATTAGGTGTTGATGAGCCGTATTCCTGCTAGAGAATTAGGTGTTGATGAGCCGTATTCCTGCTAGAGAATTAGGTGTTGATGAGCCATATTCCTGCTATGGAATTGATATGTTTCCTGTCTATGACAACCTAATCTGATTTTGAAGCAATGTCTGAGTAAGAGATTATCTCATTTTAAGGTAAATCTGCATTCTTTATCAAGTGATTAGTAAGTTCACTTCACCGAACTCAAATCTATATGGTTTACTCATAATGCTATATTTCTTCGTTTCAGAAGTCGACTTTTATAAATGTAGGCCGAGGCAGTATTGTAGACGAGGATAGTTTAGTTAGGGCGATTGAGTAAGTGCAGAAATACTTTTGTTCCATTTGCTGTACGGCATGTTCCTTTTCATGTTCACATGAAAAAACACGGAAACACATACTTGCCTCTCAGTACCCCTTATCTTAGGTCTGACTGAAATTTACACTTTGTGCTTTTTAAATATGTTGTTTCAATTTATTGGCATTTGGAAGTGTTTAGGGATTCTTTAGACTAGCTTATTAAACGTTTATTTTCGTGTGTGTTTCTGTGATGACTTTATGTAGTACCGTAAAATCGTTGCCATGATACTACATGTTTAAGGACTAGACCGATAAATCTGCAATATCTATATTACTACACAAAATGATCATGAATAGTTTTGACAAGGAACCTGAAGCAGAACAGTTCAATGTACTTTTTTTCTATTGGTTTATTTTCTTACTGTTGCGAATACTGCATGCAATTTATGAACATATGTGAGTTGTATGTTCAGCTGTTCTAGATCAAGAAATCTTGTGAAGAATCGTCTTCAATTCAGTTGATATTTTCATTTCCTGTTTATGTGGAATACATCGAATTGACAAGTTCGAGGTCAGATCAACTGAAAGGCTTAGAATCTTAATATTTGTTTGATAGGTCTCTGGGATATGGTCAAATAAAGTTTGTAAAGAGAATTGACCATGATTCGTATTCAAGGTCACAAGGCTCAAATTTGTTAAAATTTTCAAACGACTTCAGATGCAAGAAAACATGCTAGAATCATGATATGTGACGGACAGGTTCCTAGGATGAAGCCCGCCAGTATTTGCAGACAGAAATGACTTTGACCCATATACAGGTTCACAAGGATCAGATTTGTTAAAACATTATAAAAACTTCTTCTGATTAACCAAAAGGCCCAGAATCATGATATTTGGTTTGTAAGTTCTTTGAATGAAAGTCAGTTATATGATATGATAATGCATTTGTTAAAGCATTGAATACCATTGACTAATGCAGGCCAACTGGGCCTTTTGTTTATCCTTACAGTAATCACTGGATAGCTGGCGCTGTATTAGACGTATTTGAGCAGGAACCACTGCCATATGACAGCAAACTATGGTCCCTTCCCAATGTTGTGATCACACCTCATATGTCTGGACCATGTATCACAGAACTGGTAAGAATAACACTAAATATCAATATAGTTGTCTGGCATGCGACGAAAAATTGCGATAGTCAAATTGTGATGTGGCTATTTCGGCAGTGAAGGCAGCGTCGGCAACATTTCATCTTAAATATAGTGATCAATATGTATGAGTCCAACTTAAACCAAACGCGATCACCATTATTATCCTTCAAACACACCTGATTTGTTTTTATATAAGAAACTGTCCTAAAAGTGATATGAATGAATTACTTAAAATGAATTAATTTAAACACGGAATTTCCTTTAGCGTTTGTAGCTCTTTTAAAACCACTTTGATAAAATAAAAACAAATAACAACAATAAGACTATGAGCCTGTAATTTACATACAATAATATATGTATTTTTGATTTCTTTTTACAGGTGGCAAAACCTTTTACCGTTAGTTATAAGAAATACATAGCCGGGGATACTCTGGACTACATCGTAAAGTGGGCGAGTGGCTACTGAGACTGACCACTGAATCGAATGTTTTATTAAGACTACCAAGAAACATGTTATACAATTTACCAGACATGCCTGTCTGACCTGTAAATCAGAATTACACAGCAGAATGCCATTAAGGAATCCTAAATATATCATATTTTTATGCAGACTATTGTTACGTCGTTTTTAACCAGAACTTAGTCCCTATTTATATTTTGTCCGTCATGCGTCGTCTGTCCGTAAATGATTGACCATTTTGACTTTTCAAATATCCCTTTAGCAGGTTCCATTAAGGTTTTCTATTGCAGAAGACGAACCAAATTTGTAAGTTACAATGTGTTTACTGCTCCAGGGATGTGAGACACGCGGCTAAAATATGTCGAATTGACTGAAATTTTAAAAATATTTCTCAATATTCAGATATGATAGAATCAAATACTCTTCATGGATAGAAGAATCTTATCTCATTCTACGAAAATTATAAATTTTGTGACCTCAGAGTCTCGCATTTCCCCCGATAAGGAGGGAAATTTTAATTTTGTTTCTGGAGGTTAATAACACCATTGATTATATTCTAACAAATTTTCAGTTTAGATGATCAGTATTATAAACCTGAGATTTCATTTTGATATTTTATCTTGACTGACCCTCGGGGATTAAAGAGGCAGGAAATCAGATGACACATTATATCTAATTTTTTGCTGTTTTCTTCCTCAACTTCATCTGCTGTAGAAGACGTTAATCTGACTGTCCAAATTACAAATGTTAAATCCGTTATAAACAAAATGTCGTCTCTTAAAGACAGACTTGGCTTCAATTTATGATTTCCGGAGATATTCTATTCTGAATATCGCAGCATGTCAATCCACGACACGAACACGTAAATAGTTACCGAAGGAGCACTATACACATTATTTCGTGAAATCTGATAACTTCATCACTTCGTTGTTTTGGTAATATCAAATAATTCTTACACGTTTATTATTTGTTTCATTTGTTATTAAAATATATATATATTTACAGTATATTCTTGTTTATCCATGAACAATTCTTCAAGAATATAATAGTTGTTTGAGTCTGCAGAAATCAGGACGTTTCGATTAGATTAGCTTCAGTAAGTTTTCTACTAATTTGAAAAAATGAAAAAAGCAAAAAAAGTATTTATACATATTTATAAAAAGTTTCAAAGTGTATGAAAAGATTTCGTGTTCTTTTTTTTTATCAAACTTGAAATATGTATTTGTATTAATTCCATGGACCGGCTCGCGTTCCATGTTCCGTTCCAAAAATGGATAATTTACATTGAATTTTGTCATTTTATAAACCCAACATAAAGAAAGCTTCATCCTCTTAGGAATGTCTAATCTACTTGGTCATCCTCGGTCTGTTCTGAAGTTCAATTCAGTTTAATTCTTTATTACCTTGAATCTTGCGGCTCGTCAGTTGAACACCGATGTGTTTCGCCCGACCGACGGAATGACCTCCAGTTTATACCTTCATGTCTGCTGTCGTGCTGTGTCAGTGGTCAACAAACGAGGAGAGGAACTTGAAACTGGGAACCAACTTCAGACTCTCAGAAAAAAATGTGGTTTAGAGAATAAAATATTTATACAATATTCGGAGTAAATGGCTATATGGTTTTATCGGTATCTTTTTTAAATCGACCCGGATATTTTTGCCCAGTAATTTTACTTTGTATAATCTACCGTACATGAAGTTTCAAGTCCTTTATCAGATAATTTAAGATAAGTATATGAAATTGCGATTCTTTTTTATCTTGTTCTTCTTTAAGTGTGCGAGGAATCGAATGTAGTCAAGTATAATGATATTCCTTTACATAAATTAACCAAGATTTACATAGCAGGCACCATCGATGAAGTAGAAGACGCTTATTCTTCCGAGCACCTAGTCTTATTCTTCTTATACTTTTTCAGTAGTCTTCGTGTAAATCTTTTCTTGTGTTTTGCCCCAGGTTCGTTGAATTTCAGTTTGGATTATGATTATATTGAGTTTTTTTTAAGAGGAGGTTGTTTGTTACCAGACGAAGGTTTGAGTTATGATAATATCTTAAATAAAATCAACCACTTGTTTTTCTGGTTTTCAACCCATGAATATAAGTGTATACTTTCATGTTGTTCTTGTCATCAAAAGAAAAAAAAAGCCACACTTTCATATAAAAATGCGATATTTGTTTATTTACATTCACTAAGTAAGCAGTAATAATATTGAGCGAGGATTTTGTGAGGAATTTGTTTCTAGAAAGGAGGCTATTTGTAGTTGTATGAGTTAAAATCTATGCCTTATTATAACTTTTCAATGCACTCTGTATGCGAAGCAAGAGGGTTCTTCGGTCCCACTTTGCTTCTCCAGTAGGTTTTGGTCCCCAGGTTGGTTTTGGTCCCCAGGTTGGTTTTGGCCCTTTGGATGGTTTTGGCCCTTTGGATGGTTTTGGTCCCCAGGTTGGCTTTGGCCCTTTGGTTGGTTTTGGTCCCCAGGTTGGCTTTTTGCCTCCCTTTGATCCTTTAGAACCAGATTTGTCTTTTTTGCCGCCGAAGCCTCTTTCTTTCAAGCCTACGAGGTCATCTCCGTTCCCCTTAAAGGCTACAACAGGACATTATATATCATATAATAACAATAATAATAATGGATTTTTATGTGATGTCATATCACCTAAAATAATCTACATTAAATTGCCGGATCATTTGGAATTGTTATGCCTAATATATAGATATTTGCTTCTATGTAAATAGTTTTTCTATGCTCCTTCATTCAAAAATGTAACGTATTGTTTTTGTATTGATGATCACATTATCGTGTTATACCATTTATACCGACTACAGAGTATAAATACCATAGCAAGGCTCTAAATGCTTATAAATAATACTATAGCGAGGCTCTAAATGCTTGTAGAGACATCCGCCACAACAAAGATATGAAATGTATGCAATTATGAAAATAGTGTTAGCGCACCTCTCCAAGTATACTTTGACATTGTTTTTGATCAATTGTAGCTTTTATCAGTCGCCTTTTAGACTTCTAATATCACTGATGTCCATATATGATCCAGTCTAACTCATCATTCGATATTTGTGACTGTTTGTAACAAACGATATACTTCAGTATCTAAATTGATATTTACAAGATATGACAATGTATCAAACATATCATGGTTCATTAAACACCTTTGATAATAATGTTTTCCCGTCAACATTTTAGTTTCATTGTACATGCATAAGAAATATATCATATGATGTTACGAAGCCTAAAGTAACCTTGATTAAGTAAAGCAAGCACAACATCTGTACAACTTTGAAGAGCTGAAGAAAATTGCACTCTATATCATACAATTTTCACAATCAAATGTATAATTCTGGTAATGCCTCGTTCTTTGAAAATGTTCCTTGATACATGCTAAAAGACATTTGATATCAGGTATGAACATGACACTTGCCTGATCGAAAATAATATCTTTCTTCCCTTTTTACTATTTCGACACAAATTCTATCATAGAAATATCGCGAACTAACCGGGATCCGAAGCACGCTTAACGAAATCTTCGGTCCATTTGCCAAGCGCTTTCATCTCAACTGCTGCCTGTTCCAACTTCTTCAAACGATCGGCAAGACCGGCAAGATTTAGGTCTTCATCTACAAAGAATAAAAAGAACTTAAAGTAATAGTATAAAAAAACTTATTCCAATATCATCAAATTATGTTTGTGAAGTTGTTAGCTTATAAACTGACACCACAAATCAACTTTCCTTATATAGGGTAAATTTCGAGAATTCTTTTGCCGGCATGAAAAACAAACAAACAAAAAAAACCCTAAGAAATAAGCACGTGATATAAAAGATATAAAAGAAATCCCCATATCTTGTTAAGTTCAGCATTATCTTATGGTATTATATTACCATCCATATCTTCAAGGTCGACGAGTTCCTTCATCACCTCCAGACCAGTGGCTCCACAGACGAGCACCTGTTGGAACACTTCGTTCATCAAATCCTTGCCATTGTCAAAAGCGTCAAAATTTGTATTCATGGCATCTTGAGAGAGAAAATATAAACATCAGTGCATGTTAATTCTGGCCAATTTGAAGTAATTCAGTAATCAGCTACTAGGTGAGCTTCTTATTTGATTGTTGTTATTAGTTTAAAATGTATTACAAGTATTGTTAAAGACACAAGTTCGTCTTTCTCTTACTACTAATAGTTGATGATATATAATTACTTACTTTTCTTACAGCCGTCAAGGAAAAGAGATCCTTTGTTCTCGTCGTATACTTGAATAGAAAAAGATAGCATTATTATTACAAAAAACATTTTGTAAAGGAAGGAAATCGGTAGTCTGAACCCCAGGACTTTTTGTCTTTTAAAATCTCTTGTTTTTCTAGGAGTGTGTATTATTTATGTTGATAATATTCGATTCGATTCTTTGATATTGATGAGTCGAGCAGAGCAATAAAAGGCTTTTACAATAGAGAATATAAGAACAAAATTTAGGCAATTAAAGTATATTTTAGATTGAATACACAGATATAGGTAGTACCTGGAAGCTGATCCATGATTTCTTTCTCCTTCTCCTCATCGCGATTCAGTTGCTTTTCGAGTTTTTTGAATGCAGCTGTTGGTTTAAGGTCATCACCCAGAATTCCTGCAGAGAGACAGATATACATGGAAAACGTCATCTTGTCAAAAGATCTTCCATCAATTGTGAAAACTTTTTTTTTTATCTATTTATGATTTCGATTTTTTTTACTTTATAAACTAGGTGGATAAAATATAGATATAATGCCATTGACGGGATATCAAAAGGTGATATGCGTTATATGTAAAGGATATCATGTTTGAGATATTTCTTTTATCTTAATAAAATACAATACATATTGAAATATACGCTTCATTTATTTTTATGAAACTAAGTACCGCATATACAGTGCATGCGTCTGATACGCATCTGGGTGGTGTAAATGTTCTGTACTGCATAAATGATTTGGATAAAGAATTCGCTCTACCTTCAACACTATTATATAACGTAAGTGGTTGTCTTAGAATTGTTTGATAACGATGTAGACATGTTCATATATTTACAAGTAAATAAAATAAATTACCAACCTCCGAGTTCGATCATTTTGTTTATAACTTCGATAGCATCTTCCAATCCGTCTTCTATTTCAGCAGCGCCTTCACGGATTTCTTGTGGGCTGGATTGTTTAATCACTGTAGAAGAAAGTGTTCCATGATGAGATGTCATTCAGCTTTTCCAGCAAAATGTTTTTTTAGGATAGACATTTTATTGAATATTTAACACACCGTTTCAAATTATCAGAAGAATGATTTCTTTTTGTCAGAACAACAATTAAGTTATTGCTGACTTTTATTGCTGACTTGGAGTGATCACCCTTAACGATCTACTTAGTACTTCGCTGGTCGCATAGCTATAACATGCGATGTTTCAATGTTATCTCTATGTGCATCTTTAGTCTTATAGATAAGACAGGAGAAGAAACTAATCGCGATAGTTTTTGTCATATATCGACGGCATAGTTATTTCACCTTTGATGTAATTAACGTTTGAAAATAAATACCATATGTCACTCATATATTGCTTCTACTGGACAGTTTTTACGTGCTGTTTAAGTAAGAAAAATGCTTTACTTACTTTCTATAAATTCTTCCTTTGACTGAAAAAGGGCGAAGTGAAAATATCAATCCATGTAACATTAAAATGATATCAGTAATTGGCATCGTCGGTGCAGTCAAGTTTTCACTATATTATTGTATACTCGACACTTTTTTTTTGAAATTATGAAAATTGCTTTTTCTGTGAATAGATATATAAATATTGGAGGTAACCTATCACTTTTTTATCATAGATATGACAATGCGTAACGGATTTGTTTATTTTAATTTTGAGCAATTTTTATTTTTTCATTGGTATTTTTTACACTTTCAATTTTCCTTTTCAATAGTTAGATGATATTGAAAGTTTAAGTGTTTCAGTATATACTTCTGCAGTACTTTGATCACTTACCCCGCGTCTTCCCAAATCAAAAGCTCTGTCATAATCTGTGGAGATGTAGGAGAAGGAACGACAAATATTAAAAAAACGCTTTGTAATAAACATGTTAGATTCTTTATCAAAATAAGTCATAAACTGTTAAATGCAGCCCATGGGTAAAGTAGTGGATTTTGCAAACCTGCCTTTATCAATTATACAACGCAGACAACTTTTAATAAATTATTTATTACTTGGCTTAACATTTAAACATTTGAATCCGTGTCAATTCAGAATTACTTCACAACATAAATATCCTCGGAAGATAAATAAATGAACAGATTATGATAAAACCGAAGGAAATAAAATGTCATTCCTACCTCCATTTTCTACCTTTTTGATGAAACCAAGAACCCACTTAGCTAGATGACCCATCTCCAGGAATGTAGCCTCAATAATATCGATTCGGTCAGCCAAACCATCAACGGTCAAATCGGCATCTGAAAATCAACATGACAGTAGCGTTCATTTGTCTTTTTTTTCTTTTTGATTTTGAATTGAACATTGTTGCTTGTTTCTTTGGAAATTTGCTAGAAAATTGTAACAAGTCACGTGAAAAATTATTGACCAATCAAAACATCTTAACACGTCAAAGCATTCAAATGATTATGAAGTGTAGACCTGATCGCGATAACTATACACACAGACGATATTGGCCAGGATGGCAAATCCTAAAGAAGAAAAGTCTGTTTGAGTAGGTATCAGACTGATATCCTTTGTAAAGGATTTCTTTAAAATGACATAATGAATTTGCTTTCTTGTTAAGAATCGCTATTTGCAAATTAGCTATATTTGATTATTGTTTATTAAACAGATTATAAAACAATTGTCTATGTCTTTGATATCAGTCAAGAGGCAAACCTATTAGTTTTCACTACTGTCTGGTGAGGCATGGAAAAAATGTTTAATTATCAAATTTTAAAAGATTAACATGATGTTGATTTTTGTTAGAATGAGTTTGAACATTATAAACATACCATCCATAGAGGAGATATCAAGGGCGGCGGAAATGATGGTCAATCCGGATCCAGCGCAGTCGAAAACTTGGCGAGTGAGAGCGGTTAGCCTATCTTTGTCACTGTCCATAGCATCGAAATCAGTGTTTTCGGCAGCTAGAAAAATAATCATTATGATCTGACTCCCTCACACGGAAATAATACATCGACCAAAATACAAAAGTACATTTATATTTTTTTTAAGTTTCAAAATTACGAAAATGGGGAGATGCTATCAGAAACCATTCTATCGTTCTGTTACTTTCCCAACAAAAGCAGAACATTTGATGGAGAAATCATCTATTAAAAACACCGTTGATTATAAATCAAAAGGACCTGGGTTTTACATGTTACCGACCGATAACTTCAAATATTTATTTGTTTGATCTAAAATTTTCTTTAAGAAATATAAAGATGTTTGCTTATTTAATCAAGTATCAAAATTATATATTGTTACCAAATTGACATGCTACTCACTGTATGTAAGATATTTCTATTGCGGAGCTTAAAAAATGGGAATCGGGGGTGGGTGGTGGTGGAAATACTCGCGAGATAACTTGTTTCATAAATGATCATTCCTTCTTGCAAATTAAACATTTTCAAACGGTTATCAGGCATTTCAAATGACAAGCTAAAACATTAACTTTTCATTTCGTAACATTGACTTTTCATGAAATTACAAAGAAATCTGTCAATGTTTCACTCCATTCTAATTCACAAATTAAAACAACGTTATTTAGTAATTGTTATGCATATTTCAGAAAATCAATGGTCGTGTATTTAGCAGGATTTAACCGTTAGAAGCAGCGCAAAATGTTAACTACAGAAAATATCGACATCTACAGGAAAATTTCAACAAAAGGATGATTTACGTGGAGACTCTTGAGAGGGGTTAGCGAATTCTGCTTCGTCGGCGACAGCCGCCATTGTTAAACTTGCTAAGCTAACAAAAATATCAAAATCAAACGTTTTGACCTAGATACCAAACGCTTCTTAATGTGTTTAATGACATACTTACTGGCAATGCATTTATCCAAAAACATCATCTTCTTCTCTTTATCGAGTTCTACAATAAGATGGATCTCAGTACAAATAAGGTAATTCTAGTTAACACATAACATGATAACAATTTATCTCAACAAATTTTCTTGATAATGATATCAATTCGATTGGACAGCAGGCCGGAAGGCTTTCTCCAAAATTCCAGTGGTCTAGATTGAATAAATTATAACTATTTACAATAATGACTATTTGCTAAAAATGGTCAAAGGCAAACAATGGTTGTTTTTTTTTTATAAAAAAAATGATTGAAAAATATTACAATTGAAGAAATAAATTATGTTTTCATACCAATATTATTGACCTGTCCTATACTCACTCATTACAATTATCATGTTCATTACAGGGGATTTGGACCAAAGAACAATGTAAATATAATTATATATTGATGAGAATATGTTGATACAAAAGCGTATAAGCATGTGAAATGGAATTCTGTGTAAATCAATGATAAGGAAGAAGTAGAACACTGACTGCCTCAACGAATGACGCTTCTCTCTGTAAAGTGTAATTCTACCTACCTACACTTGTAACGGATTTATCAGAGGTTTTAACAGAGAAAAACACTAATTTTATATCATGGGATGACATCCGTCACATGCACAAAAATATTTGGAACACTGAGTGCATATGTTATCAGAGTCAGGTACGATTTAATCCGTCGATAAAAGGATATTCGGTTTATACATGTAGGTACCTATCAATGAAAAGAAACATCCATCACATGCACAAAAATCATTGGAACACTGGGTGCATACGTTATCAGAGTCAGGTAGGATTTAATCCGTCGATAAAAGGATATTCGGTTTATACATGTAGGTTCCTATCAATGAAAAGGAACATTAATTCTCTGCAGTGAAGATTGCTATTATACCTAGATGAATATCCGAAGTGTAAAATTATTTTAAGAACTCACCTGGGAGATCTTTCAGTGCAGGACCGACCTCATTCTTAAGCATATACATTGCTTTGTCCAATTCTGGAATAGGTTCCAAGTCGTCGTTGAAGAGATCTGCAAACAAATTGAAATACAGATATAGAAATGGAAATTTTGCATTTGTTGTGACATCATACACCTCAAAACGCATTAATTACATGATTCAGTGGCGTAATAAATAATGATATTCAAATATTTCTTGTTGCTAAGTAGTTTCAGCGTTTTGGAAGATTCATGTTAATCATCCATAGAATTATAGATGGTTTAGAATGTATCGTCTGATTTTAAATTTAAATCAAAGGTGTTGATAAGGCAGAAACCGCTTACTACTCCGGAACATATGGTCTTTTTTCAGAGGTCTCCTTGTAAATCTTTATTTTGTTCATATTTGGCCTAAGTTTTATTGAATTTGAGTTTTGGATAATAATTGTGTCGATATATATAAATGTATATCCATATAACAGTTACATTTCAAGTATTTACTTGTAACTAACGTACACATATCCGGACATTATCACTCCGAGATAACACAACACCCACACACTCACACACACATATATATACAAATATATCTACCTTCATTTGCCATCAGTTTGGCTCCTTCAGCGATCATGCCATTAATCCAGTCTTCTATTTCTCCAACTTTTTGCCTGATTTCATCCTTGCTACTGTTATTTATGACTATCACAGAAACGATACAAAATTTCACTCAAACAATACGAGCGTAAATAAATACAAACCTTAGTCTGAAATTTTTATATGTACAAACAATAGCATAGTATAATACTTAGACGGGTTTAAAACCATTAAAAAGGGTTCTAAAATGATATATGCGAAAAATATTTTTTTCAGTTTTACTTCAAACGAATGCTGGTAAATGACAATTGAAAACCTAAAAAGATATAAAATTAAAAAAAAAAATACTTACAATCTTCAACCTCTTGTCTGCTCTGAATAAAATAAAAAGAAATATTGTTAATAAAATTGATCAGTAAAACTACGCCTTCATCATCGAAGCGGTTTTCTAATCTGCTTTCGAATATTCTATGATTAATAATTTGATAAATTTTTATTTGATGAGTTTTCAACTTTAATTACTTACTGCTAAACAATTATTGATAATGGGTGTGCGTCATTTGAGACTGTGAATTTCCTTAAACCTTCTAAAAATATTGCTTAATGAAAGCAAAACACGTTAATTGTTTTAATTTGATAACATAAAGTAATTATCTTAATTAACATCGGTAATTATTATTACTCTTCTGACACATATAGTATATATTTTTCACACAAGACAATGTTTGTGTTAACATTGATCGTCTAAAAATTAAACCAAGTTGATTCCAAATTACGTATAGCAAAAATAAACATTTCTACCTACTTTCATCATTTAGATAATATTCTACCACTACCATTAAAACAGAAGTAGCAAAAAAAAAAAAAAAATATGAAAAAATGAAATAGCACGCTATCTTGCCATCTATAAAATATCGTTTTAAAACCCAAATTGATAAAGTGGTAAGATTTGAAAAAAAAATGGTTCGTCATGTTAAACAGTTGATAACGAAATTCATGCACAGATTAAAACAATTAGAATACAGTGTGGGTTAAGGATGTCATTTCATCTGACCTATCTGATATTTTTTTCTAATGCAGGTTATGTATATATGCTCTATATTGTCTTTATAGCTCTCTAGTTCTTCCAGTATCAAATAAGAATTAAATAAAGAATATGTAAGCAACATGAAGTAAAATATCTTACCCTTTTCAGCAATGGCTTGGCATTGCAAACACAGAAGATCACCACCAATGCTACGAAGACCTTCATCTTTCCTGATCAAATCTGCCTTCTGATGTCCAAGGTGCGGGGGCTGCGACTTTTATACCCAAATCTACGTGATGAAGGATTTAAGGAGATTTACACACAACTCCTGGTGCGTGATAAGTACTTGTCAATACGTGGTCGTGGTGAAAAGTTTCTTGTGTAGACATAAAGACCGGTTTATAAAAGATACAGTCATGTTTCTCCTTTAAAGAAGATTCGCGTTAGATTGTATTACTCAGTTTAATTGTTCATTTTGTCGTATTAACCAATATTTGCTCAATTTACTCGGTAGTTAGAGACTTCTAAAGAGCATTGAATCAACATTTATTTGTTCAGTACAATATCATGACGTTATGCTATTGTGATAAATGTAAACTTTTTATTTGTGAGTTAAATATAAACTAATATAAAGATGTGTTTTTGTTAAGACTTAATATATTGACGTCAAATCTAACGTTACAAATGCAATGAAAGCCTTGAAACTCTAATAATTTCTCAAAACTTTTTATATTCAGTTTTCCTTGTTTTCTTTTGAAATTGGTTTATATTGTTATATACAATGATCTTCAATGCATTTTCTAGTTTGATCCAAAAAAAGAAACTATCGTGAAAAACAATAGAGCTATTCATTTGTCGTTTAATCACAAATAAATGATGTTCTATAACTTGTGCGCTTGTGCTTTCCTGTAAGAACTCATAGTAAGATGATTTTAAAACCACAAACAGGTATTCTAACGGCAAATTTAGTGAAAATTTAAAGAATTTTATAAAATGCAAAACAAAAATAGATTTTTTCACCAAAAGAAATGTCTCTATCAGAATAGTATGTGGAGAAAAAATGTTGGCTTACTTGAGCTATAATACAACTTTTCTTTCCTATTTTTAATGTTTTAATGTATGTCGAGGTAATTGTTAATGTAACTGTACACGTAACTGTACACGTGTTCATCTTGCCTATGTCATCAATGAAATGAGACGTTTTCGTTGCAATGATAAATCGATATATCAGGTATCGAAATAATGATATATCGATATATCAGGTATTGGAATAATGATAAATCGATATATCAGGTATTGGAATAATGATAAATCGATATATCAGGTATTGGAATAATGATAAATCGATAAATCTTGTATTGGAATAATGATAAATCGATATATCAGGTATTGGAATAATGATAAATCGATATATCAGGTATTGGAATAATGATATATCGATATATCAGGTATTGGAATAATGATATATCGATATATCAGGTATTGGAATAATGATAAATCGATATATCAGGTATTGAAATAATGATAAATCGATATATCAGGTATTGGAATAATGATAGATCGATATATCAGGTATTGGAATAATGATAAATCGATATATCTTGTATTGGAATAATGATAAATCGATATATCAGGTATTGGAATAATGATAAATCGATATATCAGGTATTGGAATAATGATATATCGATATATCAGGTATTGGAATAATGATAAATCGATAAATCTTGTATTGGAATAATGATATATCGATATATCAGGTATTGGAATAATGATAAATCGATAAATCTTGTATTGGAATAATGATAAATCGATAAATCTTGTATTGGAATAATGATATATCGATATATCAGGTATTGGAATACTGATAAATCGATAAATCTTGTATTGGAATAATGATAAATCAATATATCGTGCATCTATCGGATCAGAATGTTGATAGCGATTATATTTTGGCATTACTGAAATGTATTGTTGTAATGATATTGTAACATCGTGTGTTGGCGGTTTATCATATTGTAACATCGTGTGTTGACAATCTATCATATTGTAACATCGTGTGTTGACACTCTATTATATTGTAATATCGTGTGTTGACCCTCTATCATATTGTAACATCGTGTGTTGACCCTCTTTCATATTGTAACATCATGTGTTGACACTCTCTCATATTGTAACATCGTGTGTTGACACTCTCTCATATTGTAACATCGTGTGTTGACCCTCTATCATATTGTGACATCGTGTGTTGACACTCTCTAATATTGTAACATCGTGTGTTGAAAATATATCATATTGTAACATCGCGTGTTGACCCGCTATCATATTGTAACATCGTGTGTTGACACTATATCATATTGTAACATCGTGTGTTGACACTCTATCATATTGTAACATCGTGTGTTGACATTATTTTATTGTAACATCGTGTGTTGAAAATATATCATATTGTAACATCGTGTGTTGACCCGCTATCATATTGTAACACCGTGTGTTGACACTATATCATATTGTAACATCGTGTGTTGACAATCTATCATATTGTAACATCGTGTGATGACATTATTATATTGTAACTTCGTGTGTTGACACTCTATCATATTGTAACATCGTTTGTTGACACTCTATCATATAGCAACATCGTTTGTTGACACTCTAACATCGTGTGTTGACCCTCTATCATATTGTAACATCGTATGTTGACACTCTATCATATTGTAACATCGTGTGTTGACCCTCTATCATATTGTAACATCGTGTGTTGACAATCTATCATATTGTAACATCGTGTGTTGACACTCTATCATATTGTAACATCGTGTGTTGACACTCTATCATATTGTAACATCGTGTGTTGACTATCATATTGTAACATCGTTTGTTGACACTCTAACATCGTGTGTTGACAATATATCATATTGTAACATCGTGTGTTGACAATCTATCATATTGTAACATCGTGTGTTGACACTATCATATTGTAACATCGTGTGTTGACAATCTATCATATTGTAACATCGTGTGTTGACACTATCATATTGTAACATCGTGTGTTGACACTCTATCATATTGTAACATCGTGTGTTGACATTATTATATTGTAACATCGTGTGTTGACACTCTATCATATTGTAACATCGTGTGTTGACCCGCTATCATATTGTAACATCGTGTGTTGACAATATATCATATTGTAACATCGTGTGTTGACAATCTATCATATTGTAACATCGTGTGTTGACAATCTATCATATTGTAACATCGTGTGTTGACACTCTATCATATTGTAACATCATGTGTTGACAATCTATCATATTGTAACATCGTGTGTTGACACTCTCTCATATTATCATATTGTAACATCGTGTGTTGACAATCTATCATATTGTAACATCGTGTGTTGACACTCTATCATATTGTAACATCGTGTGTTGACTATCATATTGTAACATCGTTTGTTGACACTCTAACATCGTGTGTTGACAATATATCATATTGTAGCATCGTGTGTTGACAATCTATCATATTGTAACATCGTGTGTTGACACTCTATCATATTGTAACATCGTGTGTTGACAATATATCATATTGTAGCATCGTGTGTTGACAATATCATATTGTAACATCGTGTGTTGACAATCTATCATATTGTAACATCGTGTGTTGACACTCTATCATATTGTAATATCGTGTGTTGACAATCTATCATATTGTAACATCGTGTGTTGATACTCTATCATATTGTAACGTCATGTGTTGACAATCTATCATATTGTAACATCGTTTGTTGACACTCTAACATCGTGTGTTGACAATATATCATATTGTAGCATCGTGTGTTGACAATCTATCATATTGTAACATCGTGTGTTGACACTCTATCATATTGTAACATCATGTGTTGACCCTCTATCATATTGTAACATCGTGTGTTGACTATCATATTGTAACATCGTTTGTTGACACTCTAACATCGTGTGTTGACAATATATCATATTGTAAGATCGGGTGTTGACAATATATCATATTGTAACATCGTGTGTTGACAATCTATCATATTGTAACATCGTGTGTTGACACTCTATCATATTGTAACATCGTGTGTTGACTATCATATTGTAACATCGTGTGTTGACCCGCTATCATATTGTAACATCGTGTGTTGATACTCTATCATATTGTAACATCGTGTGTTGACCCGCTATCATATTGTAACATCGTGTGTTGACAATCTATCATATTGTAACATCGTGTGTTGACACTCTATCATATTGTAATATCGTGTGTTGACAATCTATCATATTGTAACATCGTGTGTTGACAATCTATCATATTGTAACATCGTTTGTTGACACTCTATCATATTGTAACATCGTGTGTTGTGTTAACATCGTGTGTTGACAATATATCATATTGTAGCATCGTGTGTTGACAATCTATCATATTGTAACATCGTGTGTTGACACTCTATCATATTGTAACATCATGTGTTGACCCTCTATCATATTGTAACATCGTGTGTTGACTATCATATTGTAACATCGTTTGTTGACACTCTAACATCGTGTGTTGACAATATATCATATGGTAAGATCGGGTGTTGACAATATATCATATTGTAACATCGTGTGTTGACCCTCTATCATATTGTAACATCGTGTGTTGACACTCTATCATATTGTAACATCGTGTGTTGACAATCTCTCATATTGTTACATCGTGTTTTGGCGCTTTAAGCAGTGTAAACAAATTACTACTTTTCTAACGATTTTGACGTCTTTGAACTCTTACTAAGATGAATATAAAATGACTTGTTGATACAATTTTAGGAATAAAGTTATAATGGGGAACATGATCCGATCTGGGTATTGATCCGATTTTGAGTATTTTATCCGTCCGTCTACAATTTTTTTTTTCACAGGGACTATCCACTCTGTTATGGGAATGCTTTCACTAATTATGTAAAATTTAAACCCTTCATAGCTAGTACATATACATTTAGAGCTATCACAAGAAGGACACTCAGTACCACAAAGTACATAATAAGCTCTATTATACCTATGTCCAGTCTGAAGCATTTGAAAACAGGTTGTACAGTCAGTCAACAATGCCTAATGAGGGGTAGGCCGTTGTTAATATAGGCTTCTGTCGTTTGAATTTTGATGATTAATGAAATAAGACAGATCCTTGGCAAAAACATGGTTCATTGGTGTCGATGTATGTAAAA